GTTTTACATGGTAGAGTTTTCTCTCGGTTTTCTTTACAATAAATCTTATATTATAACTTAATACTAAATGTTGCGTCTACAGAACGACTTGAATTTAGGAATATTTACCTGGACCACTCTGTTTATTAGGTTTTCACGCCAGAGGATTAGGAAATAGTTTCAGACGTCCGACGTTCGGGACAAACAGAATAGAGTACCCTAAATAAACTGTTCAGAAGCATGAGTACACATCTAATTATCAGCAGTAGCTTAGGTACTATTAGTCTGGTATTTTCAGAGCTGGACATGTAAGGCATCAATAAAGAGCATGAAAACTATTCAAGATCGTAAAAGATCCAAATGTCGAAATTTCCTAATGATGTTCGATTGTGGTTCAGGTTTAGCGACGTCCTCGAATAGAACAAAAATGCAACTATAGGGTCTATACAATAGTGATTAGAATTGTCTAGGAAAAGCTAGGACTTAGCTAATTTCTAGAAACCGAAGGCAAACACTAGAAACTTTAGGCGAACTTTGTTGAATGATAAATCCGGACTTTAAACTTGGGAGCAAACCATACGAAAAAGGTAGACCTGCAGATTAAAATCGAAAGTAACAGCAAAATCCTTGTTGAACATCGTACCTCTTTGCCTCTCATCGCTGACATCATCAAGGTTTTCGATAGTATAGGTTTGGAGCCTTCGGTGAATCGAAAGATAACACTTGAAATCCCCGATTTGGATTGCCTTACCCAGGTAGAAGTCCTACAATTATTGTAGCAAGTTCTTAAGAAACCAGTAGGCAAAAAAATGATGGTTTAGGATCCAAGTATCAACAGCTGAGACTTGTAGACATCACCGATTAGGAAGAGGCGATCAGAGTGGAGAAATTGGGTCACATAAAAGGAAGGGGATCTTGCCCATTTAGGAAGTGAGTGATAGTCAATAGGTGTTTGACTTATAGCTACAGCAGCCACGTAGGAAGAGATTGCAACGAGGCGAACAGATTAATTTGCAAGGGAATATTGTTCCGAAGCTCGATCTACGATCTTAGGCAAAAATTTTGCAACTATGGATTGGTAGGGGAAAGACCCTGACATATCCCTTGGTATCTAAATTTCCAAAAAGTTTTAGCTGCATTAGACAACAGTTTTTAGTTCGAAAGAAATATTTTAATCTGTTGTTTTGAAATAAATAATGAAAAAAAAGTAACAGAACCTTTATGCGAAGTTAAGGAAAACTGTTTTTTTTTTGTTGTATTCTACAGAAAGAATTTGTAAACATTAATAAATGAAAATAGACACATTTGTCAACTGTAGGAAATGATTAGTAACTTCCTAAGGAAAATTTGCTGACCTCATGCTTCTTCTCAGACATTATAAGATATTTCAAAATTAACAGTATATCTACATTTTAGCACACCTATTCATTATTTCGAAGACTTCTAATTTACCAGAAAGCTTTAAAAGAAATGTCGATTAACTTAACGCTCAATAACCTAAAGTGATGTCTTAAGATTTTAGTAATAAACTACATGATAATTAGAAACTAATTTCCAGTCACGCACTTAAAATTTGCACGTTTTTAAAAAATAATTTTCATGTAGTAAATAGATTAATTTATAATATCAGAGATAATGAAAATTCAAACACTATCTGGAATATATTCTGGAAATTACCGAATGAAAGTAAACGAATATGCAAAAGTGAAAAGTAAGACGATACCACATATGTAGTGTATTGAAAAGAAAAGGAAGACATCGATAGAGTGGAAATTTACCAACGCATTAAGTCTGTCAATACTATAAAAACTGAGAGATGAGGAAATGAATGGATTTTATTTCGCTCAGTTTTTTTTTATTATAATTCTTTTTGAGATAAATTCTGATATAGTTTTAATTCATTCATCCAGAACGTCAACTAAAGAAAAAAAAATAAGAACACTTTTTTTCCGAACAGTAAATCCGCAATGCTAAAATTAACTTATAAAATAACTTTATTACCATTATAACAAATGCGTTTCCGCATAAAAATAGCGAATTACCTACATGACAGGAGGAAATGTTCATTTTTATTTATTAATAATAGAACTAATTAATTATTAAAGATAGAACTGATTAATAATTAATTAACCTGTATATAAGTAACCAACATATATGTTGCTTTACTAAAAAGTGAAAGAAAATAATATATGATAATTTTACTCGTAATTTTATGATAATATTTCACCAATACATATATGGGATTTAAATTTTAAAGTATAATAATTATTGCAACATTGTTAATGGTAATTTAAGATATATTAAGATTTAAAATATAATTAATGGAAATTGATAAATTTTTAAGTCCATCGAGTCACATTGAAATGATAAAGAATTATCTAGTGGAGATGGTAATGATTCTCACTTATACAAAAAAAAAAGTCCGGAGACGTGTATATGATTCGACCAATCAGCTCTCTAGATCTTGGAGGCACGTCTTATTTCTTTATCCGATCCCCTGGCGAGCGTCAGTGCTCTTCAATTTAATATTATATGAATATTGATTGATCGCTTTATTAATAATTTATTGAGGTAATTCACCAATGAGCTAATCATTATCAGTATATAGGTATAAATAAATATTCAAGTTCGATTATTTGATTTTAATAACAGGAATGACAGTATTATAATTTATTCTAGTATTTAATTATTAATATCACGATTGTTGTACATAATTATTAATTCTAGTAATTAATTCTAATTAATATTAATAATGTTAATAATAATTGTGACGCGCTTCTTAGGAAAGTACATTAGAAACAATTCATTTTAAGGATTATGTTTGTGTTATTTTTTTCAATAAATAACATCAAAGATAATTCACCTAGATTCGATAGGGGTCCTGGTGGCCTGTGGACTAACTAAAAAATCCCATTAGAAAGAAAAGAATAGACATATCTTTGTCCTTTTCTTAATTTAATTAATTATTATAATACATAATTTAATATAATTTCTTTTATTAGTAAATGAACATTAATTAACTTAATATTAAATTAATAATTACTGTGAATAATAATTATAATAAAATTAAGTAAAAAATTAATAATTTTTGTCATCGAATTGTTGCAAAGAATTTTATCAAAAAATTTAATAATAATTGAATTCCTTCAAAGGATTTTATTAAAATTTTTAAAAATCCTAATTAAATTCTTTTGAAGAATTTCTTTGAATTGTTTTTAAACTAATAGAGTTTCTTTAATAATTTTAATTGAAAATTTTGAAAGCAATTGAATTTTATGAAGAAGAATTTTATTAAAAGTGAATTGAAAATAATTGAATTCTTGCGAAGAATTTTACTATTTATAAAAATAATTGAATTAAGAATATTTGAATTCATCCGAGGAATTCAATTAAAATTGTTTTGAAAATAATTGAATTCCTGCAAAGGATTTTACTATTTATAAAAATAATTGAAATGTTTCGAATAATTTATTAAAATTTTAAGAAATAATTAAATTGTTATAAAGAACTTTATAGAAATATTTGAAAATAATGAAATTTTTCGCGAAATTCAATTAAAGTTGTTTCGAAAATAATGGAATTTCTTTAAAGAATTTTATTAAAATTAAATATATTCAAAATAATTGAATTCATCACAAGAATTTTATTATTTCTTGAAAATAATTGAATTCTTTCAATTTTTTTGACAAATATATATTTTTAAAAATTGCATTGAAAGTAATTCAATTTCTACATAGAATTTTTTAAAAACATTTTGAGAATAATTGAATTATTTTTAGAGAATTTTAAATTCTTGTTGAAATTGCATTTTATGGAAATTTTTGAAAATAATTAAATTCTTTCATGAAATTTTATTTAAATTTGATTAAAAATAATTTAATTTCTGCAAAGAATTTTAGTATTTATAAAAATAGTTGAATTGTTTCGAAGAATTTATTAAAATTTTAGGAAATAATTGAAATTTATGTAAATATTTCAAATGAATTCATCTGAGGAATTCAATTTAAATTGTTTTGAAAATAATTGAATTCCTGCAAAGAATTTTAATATTGAATTTTTGCGAAGAATTTTACTATTTATAAAAATAATTGAATTTTTTCGAAGAATTTATTAAAATTTTAGAAAAAAATTGAATTTTTTCGAAATGTGTTAATAATTTAAAAAAAAAATTGAATTCTTCGGAGGAACTCAATTAACATTGTGATAATCATTGAATTTTTGTAAAGATTTTATTGTTTAAAAAAAATAATTGAATTCTTGCGAAGAATTTTACTATTTATAAAAATAATTGAATTTTTTCGAAGAATTTATTAAAATTTTAGGAAATAATTGAAATTTATAGAAATATTTCAAAATATTTGAATTCATCCGAGGAATTCAATTAAAATTGTTTTGAAAATAATTGAAATTCTGCAAAGAATTTTATTATTTATAAAATTAATTGAATTCCTGCGAAGAATTTTACTGTTTATAAAAATAATTGAATTTTTTTGAAGGATTTATTAAAATTTTAGAAAAAATTGAATTTTTTCGAAATGTGTTAAAATTTTTTAAGAAAATTCAATTCTTCCGAGGAATTTAATTTAAATTGTTCTGATAATCATTGAATTTTGGTAAAGATTTTACTATTTAAAAAATAATTGAATTGTTTAGAAGGATTTTTTTAAATTTTAGAAAATATTTGAATTCTTTCTTGAAATTTTATTAAAATTTTTGAAAATATGAACAATAATAATTATTTTTATACTTAAAAAGTGAATTTTATTAAAATTTTTGATTGTGAAATTATTTAGAAAATTTTTATTTGAAAATAAATATTTTGTAATTTGCATAACAATATAATAAATTGAATGTCACGTTTAACATTTGCTAGTTATTATAATAAAATTAAATGCAAAATTAATATAATTTCTATCAAATATTCAAATCATGAATATTATTTGATTTTAAAAATTTAATTTTTGTTTCATAATAAATATTTTTGTTTTAATTTGTAATTTTTTTTTTTCGTCAATTTTCAGATGCGTGTTTGCGTTGTCAAGCGGAAAGTAAAAAGGACTTCTATGGAAGGCAGGACTGTGTGGTCGTCTGGGGAGAGTGTAATCATTCTTTTCATTATTGCTGCATGTCACTTTGGGTGAAACAAAATAATCGCTGTCCACTTTGTCAGCAAGAATGGTCAATTCAACGCATGGGCAAATAAAATATTTTTTTTCCACCAACCAAATGAGATCGTCACTTTCAATATTCCAACGAATCAGCCATTTTTTTCTACACACCTTGCAAGAATATGAACACCTTCTACCGGTATAGTTAATTTTTTTTTTATATTTATAAATAAGATTAATTATAATTATTCGATACTGGAAACATGATGTCATTCCATATCGTATAGTATCTCTGCAACATATTGTTAAAATTAATGATCAAAGGATATTAATTTATGTCTAGTAATTATACAAAAGAGGAATAATATTTCCTTTCTGAGTTGAGATTGAAACTCATCGTATTGGTATAAATATTTTTCAAAAAAGTAGAATATATTGTAATTTTTTATGAACGAATTTGTTTTCAACTTTTGACACTTGACGAAACTTTAGCAATATTGATGATAGAATTTTTTTTGAAAATAAATTGTTTACTAGGAAAAGTTACTACTTCTTTATTTTGATATTGAAAGGGAAAAAGTATTGTCTAGTCAGGTGAATAATAATTTGATTCGAACAAGTTTGATAAGTACTGATTTACTTTTTCTGTAAGTAATATTCTTAATGACTGTATATGTAAACTGAAATACTTTCTAGCATTACGTTTTACCATTCCTTTAAAATACTTAATAGACTTCATTATTTGAAGCAAATTAGCACTGGACTAATTATATAGTGAAAAGTATATTTATAGCAGCAGTTTTCTTTTCTTTTTTCGAAAAAAAATATCGTAGCACACTTAGTATTGCGATATACAAAATTTGATAGATCAATTATTATTACTCAATTTTCATCAAACACTAGTTCTTTTTTTATGATTGGCTATTTTTTATTGTTTATCTTCTCGTGTTAGGAAAAAGGAGCAATAAAGATTCAGTTAATTGCCATAGGCAAATATTTGATGATTCAAGTCACGCTGATAGTGACGTCAGGCCAAAAACTCACGCAGTTTTACCAATATATATGCATAATAAAGAAGATTGGGGTCAAAAATGTAATAAAAATCAACAAAGTGCAATTGCAAAAAGATAAATTTCTTTCAATAATGAAAAAAGCGATATGGACCGTTTGCTTGTTTTGTCTATAATAATCCTCTTAAATATACAGCATACACTAAAAGGTAGTTCAACCACAATACAATCTCTGCAGAAAGTTGATGATTTTTATTTTATTTTGCAACAACAATTTTTCATTCTTTTTCAACGGGAAGAAGTGAAAATAAATAAATCCTAAAAATAGGAAATAAAATATTATTTTGGGAAAATAAAAAAAAAAAATTTTTTTTTTTTCTATTTGAATAAAACTTTAATTAGAAAAGTCTAATTTTATATAGAAGATATAAAAATCTTTCTCTCTTTAAAATCCTATAAATAGAAAGCTTTTAGATCGAATAAACTGATTTTTTTTTCTTTAATTGAATTGATATTGCTATATAAAGAAAAATGTTGCATTCTCAGAGCGAAACTAAAATCTAATGGAATTTCAACAAAGATGTGACTGAGTGTTCCTTACATTGCATCATGAAAACCGGTTTGACAAGTTATTTAATAAAGTATTTAACAAGAAAACTATTTTTAAATGTTAATTTACAATCTACAATGTAAAATTTAAATCACACAATATAAATATGGTAATATTTTCATATTTTTATTTGAAATTTTTTCTAATAATATTAGTGTATGCGTATTTAGATATATTACCACCGTGAAAATTAATTTTTATTTCGTTGTCTTAGAATTTCAAAATTTTTTAATTCTTATTCGATTATTAATTACCGTACTGTAATTATGTATTTATTATAATTACCGAACTGTAATTATTTTTTTATTATAATTACCGTACTGCAATTTTTTTTTTAATTACCGTACTGTAATTATTTTTTTATTATTTGGCGCACTGTAATAATTATTTATTTCTTATCAATTTATTATTTATTTATTTACAGTGTTTTGAAAATTGTAAATTTTGAATTTAAATATTATATTATAGAATTAGAATGAAATTAAATATTTTGGAAAAATTTGTTTCCAAGAAACAGAACAATTTATTATTTTATTTTATTCAGAAATTTTTTTTTTTTAATTTTCAGAAACTATCATTCAACGTTGAAGTAAAAAATAATTTTTGTTAATTAACTATTGAATGAATTCATTGTTACGTATTTATAAATTAATTAATATACGTTTGTTAATTTTTTTTGTTCTTTATTTTCTTGAAAGAAATTATTCTTTTTAGTCTTTAGTACCTACACATTTATGTATGTATAATAATTATAATTGTTTTTATAATTGTGAGTATAATTATGATGATAATCATAATTATTGTTACATATACATTAATATTTTATAATAATTATTATAATTATAATTATAATATATAATTATAATATATATATATAATATATAATTATATATAATTATAATTATAACTGTTATTATTATCATCATCATCATCATCATTACTATTTTTGAAAATTAATACTGAAAAAATGCGGGACTAACTCTGTCGGGGATCGAAACCTAGGACCCATTAATTGCCGGTTGATTGTTTTTCCACTGAGCTACAGTGGTCCTTGTCCAATTTTTTTTATTTTAGCAATATACGAGACTAATATTTCATATTAATTAAATAAAATAATTAAAATAAAATAAAAGCGAAATAAGAAATAAAATTAAATTAAAAATAAAATAAAAAATAAAATAGAAGTAAATTTTTAATATTTTTTTTAAGAACGAGAATTGCACATTACTTTTACAGGAATGATTTGAAAAACTCTATTGGACGAATTTTTTATAAATAAAGAAAGTTATCAATAATGATAAGAGGTAAGAATAAGGAAATCGAGAAGGTAATGGGGTGGGGGAGGGAGAGAAAATTTTGGTGTTAACGATAACATACATATAAAGCAATTGCCGTCACGTATGTACACGAAACGAAAGGATATCGAAGGTCATTTTACTCTCACGTCACGTCTTGGAGGCTCGACCATACTTTGACCAATCGCGTTGTAGAAAGGACGGGTGTGTCTCAGTATACTTAATTATGTTATGATTCTTTTTTATGTTAACGGTAATTCGAATCTATTGGCGACATCCGATCATATTGTGTCGTCAGATTTACATTTCAAAGTCCAAAGTGTAAGAAACTCTCATGCAAATATTGTGCGACAATAATTCTTTTTTTTATATTGCAAAATTCAATTATTATTTCTTATTCTTTTTCTTTAAATTTTAATATTTATGCTAATTATTGATATGAGTCATTATATGGAAATTTAGAGAGAAATGGAAAGGATAAAGTCTAATTTTTGTACCAGGAAATAGTTATTTTTTTTTTTTTTTTGCTTTTGCAAAAAAAGTGAATTTGTGAAAAAAAAATTTTTTTTATGGAAACAAGTAATTGTTGATTAGAATTTAATTCATTTAATTCATAATTAGCAGAAATATCAAAATTTAAAGAAAAGAAAGAAGTAATATTTGAATTTTTAAATAAGTAAAAAAAAAAAAATTTTTCATTCATTTTGATTTTGACTCAATTTTTTCAGTTAAAATTAAAACTGAATTTAATTCATTAGGAAATTATTTAGAAATTTCCTTAATAAAACTATTTGTTATTGAATAATTAATTTGCCTTAATTATTAACAATTATTTATTATTGAAACCATTTTTTTTAATAGAAAAAATTTACAAACGTATTTTTATTTCTTTTTAAGATAGATTATATTTTTTTTTAAATTTTGAGAATGACAGGATTAAAAGTAATTTTTATTGATTAGGAAATTATTTAGAAATTCCCGTTAATAAAAATATTAATTATTGAATAAATTATTATTAACAATTATTTATTATTGAAACCATTTTTTTTTAATAGAAAAAATTTACAAACGTATTTTTATTTCTTTTTAAGATAGATTATATTTTTTTTTAAGTTTTGAGAATGACAGGATTGAAAGTAATTTTTATTGATTAGGAAATTATTTAGAAATTCCGTTGATAAAACTATTAATTATTGAATAAATTATTATTGACAATTATTTGTTATTAAAACAATTTTTTTGTGATAGAAATAATTTACAAGTGCGTATTTTTATTTATTTTTAAAGATGAATGACATATTTTTTATTTAAAAAATTAGTATCACTTATTTTAAAGAAAAATATAATTTTTTTATTATATTTTGAAAATTAAATTAAAATTACAACTAAATTTGATTATAAAGGGGGTATTATTTAGAAATTTGTTGATTAAAATTAAAAATTATTGAAACAAATTTTTTTTTTAAATTAGAGACAATTTACAAGCGTGTTTTTACTTATTCTAAAGATAAATTACTTTTTTTTTATTATTTCGAAAATAAAATAAAAATTGTATTCAATTTTTTTTCCTTTGAGATGATTAAAACGATTCAAGAAATTAAATAAACAGATTTAAAAAATGAGAGATTAAAATTTGCTTTTTCTGAAAAAAAGAAACTTGTATAAAAATTTTAACTGGATTTGTGAGGGATTAAAAAATAAATATCATTCTCTTTAGTTTGTATTCTCGATTGCATCATTACGATGTTTTCTATAAAACTTGACGCAATTTTCAGATTAATTTGGGTCAAAAATTTGATTGTCAATATAGGTAAATGAAATTTAATTATTAAATTTAGGTAAATGTTAAATTAATTTTCAGTTATTTAATTATAATTCAATATATTTATAAACATTTTCGTTTAAAGGGAATTTTTAAAAATAAATCTACTTGGTATCTGTAACTCATGAAATGTTTACGAAATTGTTTTATTGGAAAGAATTAATAAGTGTGAGGATGGATTTTTTTTTTTGTTTACAGTCGCACGATATTGCCATGAATTAAACTTTATTTAAAAGATCGACACGTGCTCGAACTTTTATGACGTTATTTCTTAAGATACAGTTTCGCTTAAGTTAATAAATATTTTTTTTATTCGCACTGAACTTTCTCGAATCGCACTCTTTGTGTGTGCATCTTTAATCATTAAAATATTTTAAATAATTCAAAAATTAATTTTTTTATTAAATTATTATTATCACTATTATTATTTATTTTTCTTTATTATTATTTATATATTTATTTTTTAACGCCCCTGAAGTTAGCGTCGAAAATTATTATTTCGGGTTAAAAAATGTCCAGAACACTTTCTTAATTATTTTAATAATAATAATAAATTTTTAATTATTATTAATATAATTATTTTTATTGGTATAAAATTTTTTTTTTGAAATTAAATTCCTTTTTGATTAGAAGATTTTTTCTAAGCTCGGCTACTAATGTTCCTGTTAAGGAAACTCATTGACATTTAGAAAATAATTTATTAGATAAAGTTAAGACTCGTTTGTTTAATCTGAGCCAACAAAATGAAATATTTCACTTGTATCAGAAAATAAGTATATAGACATGACCTTTAATGAAGGTATAAAAGAAATTTTTTCCCACGTAAATCAAAATTGTACGTGAATTTGATTATTTTTCCTGCCTCCCACGCCATGAGAATATACGACAAAATTTTCTTCAATTTCCTCCGGGAAATCAATAATTATATATTTAATAACAATATCGAAAAAAGTTCTTTTCTTTTAAGTAAGTCAGTCTGATGCAATTTCTCCATTAATTTATTAATTAAAGAACAACATTAAATTGAAATTGAGTCAATTAATTTTGATGATTATAATACAGTCATTTTTTATTTATTAATAAATTAATAAATAATAGTAATAATTAATTAACTAATAAATTTACTCATAATTGAGTGTCATCAAAATTTTTGAAATTGAAATCAATAACGTTGAACTACATTGATATTGGAGTGAGTGTAAAAATAAATTTTTTTTCTTTTATCATTTCCTAAAATTGATAAAGAATATTAAATATATTGTAAACTGTAAAAATGAGGAAAGAAAAAAAATTGTACATTTTTTTGGCCTTGTTCATATAATGTTTAATTGTTGTACGTGGTATATACATATGTGAAATTGTTGGAACGTCAGTCCTGGCGCCAAAAGATCAACCATTAATAGAGAATGCGAAGGTCATTTCGGTCAAACTGGTAATGAGAGGCTCGCCATCCATATCAGCCAATCAGAAGCTGACTTGCAAATACGCCTTTTTCAGCTGTTTCTTGGTATAACAATCGGAATTCATGACGTCACAAATTACCAGTTCCCCTACCTCTTTTCATTTTTATGCCCTCTCCTTCCTCAACAATAATTGTTGCTTCTCCTCAAACGTTAGTTCAGTTTTTTCTTTTTTTTTCTTTCAAGAAACGTTTCAGACAACGATTTCTGTTTTAAACTTCTTCTAGAAAAAAATAATTTTATGTATGGAAATTTTTATGGCAAATTTTGTTGTAAAAAAAAAAAATTACCTAGAGAATATGATTTATTTTCAAAAAAACATATTGTTAGAAATGTATTCTTGGTTTTTATTTGAATTAAGAAGAGAACTTTTTATTTAGCCAAATTTTCATCAAATGGTTCTTTATCTGACCGATTTTTTTTATTAGGCAAAAATTAAATTCGAAATAAATTTATGTCTGTTGGAATTTTTATTCAGATAAATTTCTATTTAACAATTTTTTATTTACCGAAGTCCAAGAAATGGATTTTTTATTTACATACTTCAATTTTTTATCAGGCAGAAATTTAATTTTTTTGAGAAATTTTCGTCTGTTGGAATTTTTTGTTTAGCCGAATTTCTTTTTTGTTTTCAAAAATTACCACAAAAGGAATTTTTTATTTGACCGAATTTCCAAATGAAATGATTAAGTTCGTAAAGATGGGATTTTTATTTAATCGCATTTCTGTTTAACTGAATTTTTATTTGTCAAAATTCCCTTAAAAGGAATTTTTACTCTTTGACAGAGCTTTTGATCCAGAAGAAATTAATTTCAAATTAATTCCGATTTAATATTTTCATTTAGCTGATTAATTTCATACAATTTTTATTTAGCCAAATTTTCCTCGTTTAGAATTTTAATCCATCAAAATTTCTATTTAATAGAATTTTTATTTGTAAAAATCTCTATCACGCAGATTTTTCAATTGGTTACATTCTTATTCGACAGATATTGAAATTTGACATAATTTTTATCGGGAAAAATTTTTATTTAGCCTATTTTCCATCGAAGAGAATTTCCATTTGTCCGAATCTCTATTTAGAGGATTTTTGTATATAGGTACCATAAAAATTTCCATTTAAAAAAATATTCATTTTGCTGATTTTCGCAGATAGCAATTTTTCTACGTAGAAAATTTCATTTTCAGAATAATAGACTCATTGTTTAATCAGAAAAATCGTTTATTGATATTTAATTAAATTAAAAGTGTGAACAATTTTCGTTATATTATATTGTTGGCTAAAAATGCCAATATGGCAGATTGAATTTTAAAGATAAAAAAAAAATTTCCACATGTGTAAAAGTTTCTTTCCTTTATCATATTATAGCGTTGTAGAAAATTTCATTTTTGAAAAAAAAATCATCGCAGAATTTTTTCTTTTTAGACAAATTATTATCATGATAGCGATAGTGGTGATTCATAAAAATATGATTTACAATCTACTTTTAAGTACAAATAAAATACATATAGATATACATACATATATATACTCATATAATCTCAAGCAAAAGTGGATATGTATTTATAAAAAAAATAGTAAAATTTCTTTATAGTGAAGGAAACATTTGTTTTCGACATTTTTTTTTTTAAATAATAAATCTAAAATTTATTCTCTAAGGAATTAGGATATTTAATTTTTTTTGAAATGTTCGAAAAATTATTCTAATTTGAAAGAAATAATTTTCTACTTTCGGCAAATTTGATGATTTTTATTTTTTATAGAGAAAAAAAATTTGCCACTAAATTGTTAAGATGTCAGTCTTAGAGAACTGCTTTTTCTTTCTTACTTTTTTTCGAAATAAAAGACATGAAATTGATAATTAAAAATAACCAGCAGATTTTTTTCTATATAAATTCTGACCAGATAGTTATGAGCTGCCTATATATCAAATATAACACATGTCTAACTAATTAATTATTAATTATACGAGTATCAAAAATAATGTTTGAAGTAGAATGATAATTTTGAACGATTTAAACTGACTTTGGTGAATAGTGATTCTTGAGGTAAACATTATATTTAAATGTTATCTGCATTAAACTTTAACAAATTAGAAAGTGACTTCATTGGAAATTACATTTTTATATTATAATAATAATTCTATATAGTAAGATACAATAAAGCAAACAAAAAAAAAATTTGCTTATTCCTGCGACAAAAACAGGATTTTTACGTGTAAATTACTTTAAGGCATCAAATTTCATCAAAAGCTGAAGTCATATACTAAATGTAAAATTTTAGTATTTACATAATAAATTCGGTACATACTTTTTTTTTTCTTTCTCTCAAGGCACATCGGAATGAAATGTAATTATTGTAACTCGATATACAAAGTAGAATATATCTCATAACAATTTTCAAACTTTTCCAAAATTTATTCAAAATTCAAAGTTTCAATGTCGAATAATTTCTTTTTTTTTCATATATTTTGTAATTATTATTAGTTATTTCTATAATAACTTGAATAATAGAAACTATGTTAATAAATCTTCATTCGAGACTTAATACTTTTTTTTAATTCAACAACTTTCGTGACTTTCTTTTTCAGTTAAAAATAAATAACAAGATTAAAATTACTTACAAGTTTTTTAACGAAAGGCACACAAGTAATTAATCTTCGGAAAAGTTTGAAATACTTTCTTTCTGTTTTCTTTTATAAAAATCTTATAATTTAAAAAAAAAAGTAATACGATTAAACCACACTGGAATGTGTCATAAATGAATGCACCAGTGAATAATTATTAACAAACAAACAAACAAAAAAAATTCTACAAAAATGCAAATTAAAAATAAAATTTCTTATTGAAAGAAATGAGTACTTATTGAAAATTTCTTTTCTTCTTTTTTTGTAAATGCTTGTAACTTTGGTAGAAAAAAATTATTCTTAAAAATATATATATATATATATGTTCATATATATGGTGCATTCATGTTTTTTTTTCTTCTTAATAAACGACTAATACTAGATAAATACTTATTTTCGTCACGCAATATTTTACATTTGAGCTGACGAGTGCTTTCTATAAGTGACTTCTTTCTTTTTTTTTCTTCGAATTTAATGAATTTTACTGTAACATTTTACCGTTGGTACGTCAGCAGTTGGTATGTCTAGCTCCTCTCATCAGGGGAATTAAAATACTTGGATTCTGGGCTTGTCTCAGGAATGGATGCTTCAGTAATTCAGTTGCTGTGGCTCTTTGCGCAGGATCTCGAACTAGCATTCTCTCTAGGAAGCCCTGCAGACGTGGACTCACCTGAGAAATAAAAAATTAATCTAATAAAAGTTGGAAAAATTTAAATTAAAAAAAAATTTTATTTTTAATTAATAAAAAATTAAACGAACAATTACGATTTAAATTAATGTAGAAATAAAGACTATAAAATTGTAAAATTAAATTTTATAGAACTTATTTCTATAATACTAAGATATTTACTTAGTTTTGATTTTCTTTGTCAATCGTTATATTTAGCACATATTTCATATTTTCAATAATGGCTTAATTATTACTTAAATTAGTAATAAAGAAAATAAAAAAGGAATTCGAAAATGTCCGAATGTTTTTGTTTTTATTTCCTTTATTATTAAACTACTCAGACGTTATAAATTTGTTTATTAATTAAATTAAATTTAATTGAATTAAGAATTTAATATAATTTTGAGTTCTTTTTCAATTTAATTTAATTTAATTTAATTTAATTCTGTGCAGTTTTGTGTATATTTTAGAAAATTTTCTTTGAATATTACTTATTTTACTTATGCGGTAAAAAATGTACAATTGAAAATTTTTACATTTTTTTATGAATTTTTTAATTTACTTGCCTTATGGGAATTCTTTAGTTTCGGCGGAGGCATATCTCGAATGCGACGCATTGCCTGAAGAGGCGGTTCATTGAAAAACGGCGGTTCCCCATCAACCATTTCAATTATCATGATTCCCAAGGACCAAATATCCACTTCTGGACCATAAGGTAACCTTCAAATAAAATAATTGAATTATTACCCAATTATTAAATAATTGAATTTCAAAATGACAAAATGAATTGTCATTTTCTGAGAAAATATTAGGGATCACAGTTATATTTTTTTGATTAGTTGGAAAAATGATTAATTTTTCAAAAATTAGTTGTCGTAGGTAAAAGTTAAAGTTAAAATTAAAAGTAATTTTAATTTTATTAAATTTTGTATTAACAAGGTTGCCACAAAAATTTTATTTTGTTTTTCCTTAACTTTCCCCTGATTTCCAGATAGAAAATTGCCTTTTTCCCCTATCTTTATTACAAAAAAATTCAAGACAAGTTCAATTATAAAAAAAGATTTTTAATTTTTAAATATTTATTATTTTAAATACTTTTTAGAAAAAAAAAAAATTTGATTTAGAACTTTACTTCATTTTACCTATTTTAAAAATAAAATTAATTACTGTGACAAAATTCTCTTTACTATTTTAAAAAATTTCAATAACATTCTTTTAACAACTTCGATTATTTTTAATAACATTTTAGAAAATTTCAATTACCTACCTACTTCAAAAACTTTTAATTATTTGTTTATAAAAATTCAATTAATTCTGTAAAATTCAAATATTTACCAATCACTACATTGAAATTCTTTGAAAAATCTATTTTTTTTAAATTCTAATTAAATTTTTAAATGAAATTTTTTAAATTTCATTATTTTCATTTCAATTTAACAAAATTCAATTAATTTTATAATTCTACAATAAATTTTCTAAAAATGTAAAGTAACTTTAAGAAATTGATTAAAAATTAGGGTAGAGTGGGGTAAAAAAGCCACATTTTTACTTTTGATGTTGTAAAATCTGTATTTAAAATTTTTTTCTCAAATTTCCAATTGTTATTGAAAGTTTAGTTATTAAGCTTGAAAATTCTTGACGGAAATATTTTTTATCTCATGAAAGGACTAAGTTATAAGAGTTTTACGAAAGCACTGTAAGTGGCTTTTTTGCACCACCTGGTGGGGTGAAAAAGCCACCCTACGATTTTAGCAAAACATGTTATCAATTTAGGTATTTTTATAGTTTCCCTTTATTTATATGACAAATAGTCTTATTTGAAAAATATTCTAATAATTATGAAAGAGTTTTTAGCAAGCAAAATTGAAAATTATATTAAGTTTACCTGTTTTTCATTTGCACTGCCAATTTTTCGTACCTTTTTTAGAAGTTCTCTTTAAGTTTTACCACAGATAACATATTTCGTTGCAACCGTTTATTCATTGTTTATTTTTTAAATGCACTTTGAACTACTTTTTCGTCGTGTTTAATTTATTTTATTAAATAAACACGAGAAATTTTGTAAAATAAGAAGGTTAGTTTAAATAGAAAACAAGTGAATTTCACAAAATATTCAATGGATTTTTTGCCCTGGCTTTTTTACACCCAAGACCAGTTATTAAAAAAAGCAAAAATAAATTGTTAATTCAGTTCAATTTCCAAAAATTAACATTGTATACGTTTTCGGTATACTTTTCTCCTTATGTACAAACATTTACTTTTATTATTCGTTCACTTAATCAAATTGTAATATGTTTGAAAAGTTCACCAAAATGTTTTCAAAAAAGCAACAAAAAATTAAAATTACAATAAACACAATATTAATCTAGGTACAACATTCAAATTAGATTCAAAAGTTGCGTATTACCTAATAGTATTTATATTCTAAACAGCTGATAAATCGGCATAATAGTTTTTAAATAAAACTCAAATGGCTTTTTTACACCATGGCTTTTTTACCCCACTCTACCCTACTATTTTTTCAGAATATTAAAAAAAATCATTTAAAACTGAAACAATTTTTTAAACAAATAATTAAAATGTTTTTGGACGCAATAAAAATTAGAATTTTTGTAGTAATTCTGGAAATTTGATATTTTTCCATCACTTTTGTCAAAATTCCCTGATATTTCACTCATTTCTCTAATTTTCTTGACCAGTGGCAACTCTGAATTTAAATAGTTTAAACATTGTAAAGAATGAACAATTTAGATTGATTAAAAAATATAAACCAATATAAATTTGGATAAATTGAATTTTTAATCATTCGAAATTTAAATAGCTAAAAATTTAGATAAATTAAAATTAAGATAACGAAATTTTAATCAAATAATTTTTAGAAATCATTAAATGTTGATAATTTTTAGTTTTAATTAATTGAATTTGAACAATTCTTGACGATAACAGTAAAATTTTTCTACTTCAAATTATTGATCAAAGAATTGTGCAAAACAATTTTTTATACAAAAATAAATAAAAGTTTGAATAAAAAAATGTTTTTTCTAAATCATTGATTATAAACGTTGTGAACTTCGCCAAAGTGAATTTGAATGAAGTAAATTTTCAAATAGATCAAAATTCTCTGATATAGGATTTATATTTGAATAAATTGAAAATGAGATGAAAAAAAAAAAAAATAAAATAATAAATAAAATTTAAATAAATTGAAAATTGAATGAAATCAAATTTGAATTAACTGAAAAATAAACGAAATAAAAATTAGAATAAATTGAACATTGAACGAAATAAAATTTGAATAGATTAAAATTTAGAGATATTGAATTTTAAATTGCTTCAACTAAAGATTGATTAAGATTATTTAAATATCTAAATTTAAGTTCAGATCCATTATTATTTTAATCGAGAAATTCTTCAACTAGTTTAAATTAATATCAGTTGAAATTTAAACTGAATACATTTTTAATTAGTGAAAATTAAAAGGTGAAAATCTGTGATCCCCAAATAAAATAAAGCAATTTTGTATCTAACCGAATTTTTATAAGCTTTATTCCAATAAAGCTTATAAAAATTCGGTTAGAAACAAAATTCCAAAACTTATTAGTTTTGGAAACTTTTTTTCAATATTAAAAAAGTAAAGTTAAAATTTATACCTGGAAATAACTTCCGGACTCATCCAATAAGGAGTGCCCACCAAAGACTTTCGTTTTGGAAGTTCCTGCGATACTTGTGCGCAAAATCCAAAGTCCGATAATTTAACTCTACCATCGGCAGTCAAAAGAATTGAGTCCGATTTAATATCTCGATGAATAACACCTTGAGAATGTAAATACTCGAGTGGTTTAAGGCACTGTGAACAAACTGTCGCTATTTGACTTTCATCCATACGTGAATGTGTTACAATATCCGTTAATGCTCCGCCCTCAAGATATTCCATAACAACCCACAGTTCATCGTCAACGAGAAAACTGTCGTACATTTCAACAATATTTGGATGATGATAATCTCTCATAATAACCACTTCGTTGAATAATAATTCTCGCCTCTGTTGTTTTCTGAGATCCATTTTCTTCACCGCCACCTGACGATGCAATGCTTTGTCAGTGGCTATACAAACTGTGCCCGTACTACCCTCGCCGATTTTCAGGAAATTCTCCAAATTCTCCCTCGGATCACCCCGACTAACAACCATTTGTAATGCCGCTCTAAATTGTTCGTGTGTAAGCCTCTGATCGGCATTTTGTTTATTGACATTATTCGATGTTCCCGATGTTGAGACAACTGCCAAGTTTCCTGATGAAACGGCACTCTTCATATTTTGATTTTGATCTGGTACTGAACTACCGCTGGCAATTGTTGACGATGTTGCGGATTTTGAAAGATTGTGCATTGATTGTGAACTCTCTATTGGTTTATGGAAATGAGAGTGTAATGAGGATTGATTCTCGGTTATGCCATAATTCTGAGAGTGCTTGTTTACATTGTGGGAGCTTAATTGGCTCAATGGTCTTTGCGATGCTATTGATCCAACTGGTGATACCTTGGGATGCATATTATGAAGTAACATATTATGCGATTGCTGTCGATCTCTCATTGATGGGTCCATTTTATTTACCTGTTTAAAAAAATTCATAATTTTGAAAATTTAGAAATTAATCTTCACATTCATCTACTAAAATCTACTATTCACTACTTTTTTTTACGATTTGACAGTATTTGGATACTTTATTAAAAATTATTAAGATCTTAATTAACAATTTTTTTTAAATAAATGAATTCTTTTGTGAAAATGTTTGATTTTAATTTGAAATTCAATTAATTCCAATATCTACTGTTTTAATAAAATTTCACAAAAGAATTCAATTATTTAAAAAAATTGTTAATTAAGATCTTAATAATTAAAATAAAAAAATTATTCTCAAAAATTTTAATAAAATTCTTTCAAACGACTCAATTATTTTCAAAAATTTTGAGAAAATATTTTGTAAGAATTCAATTATTTAAAAATTTAATGAAACTCTTCGCTGAAGTTCAATTATTTTCAATATCTACTATTTTAATAACATTTCACATAAAAATTGAATTATTTAAAAATTTTAATAAAATTCTTCGCCAAATTCAATTATTTTTATAAACAATAACACATTCCAAGAATGCAATTATTCTCACAAATAAAAAAAATTTTTTCCAAAAATTTAATCATTTCAAAAAATGTTAAATTAAATAAATAAATTAAATAAATTCGTTTCAAGAATTCAATTATTTTTAATAAAAATTCAAATAAATTCCTCGAAAGAGGCAATTATTCTTCAAAATTTTTATTAAAATTTTTTGAAAGAATCCAATTATTTTAAAAATTTTTGATAAAAATTGTACAAGAATTAAGTTTTAAGAAATTATCAATTATTTATTTTTGTATTTAAATAATGAAATTATCGTAGAACTTTCGAACAAGGTTTGGTTTAAAAATAAATTTTCTATAAAATTTTAAATAATAATTGAATATTAGAGGCGTTATAGTGCGAATTATTAAAAATAATAATTAAATGTCAAAAGTTTTTAAATTATGTCTGAATTTGAAAATTTGAATTATTGCAAAACTTTTAAAAATATTTCAATATTTATTATAAAAAATTATTGAATTTTGAAAGAATTACAGTTGTAATTTTTAGAAATAGTTAAATTTGAAAATGGTTTTACATTGAAATTATTTGAAATTTTAATTCCTGTGAACGAAAATAAATAAGAATAAGTATTTAAATATTTACTTAATAAAAATTATTCAAGTTGTGAATAATTTAATTTAGAAATTATGGAAAAAATTAGTCTTTTGAAAAATTGTTATTGAAAATTTTGGAAATTGTTAATTGTGTTTTATTTTCCTGAATTTTTACTAATTTTTATAAAAAACTTACTTACATAAAAACTATTTTTTTTCTTATCTTATGAATAACTTCAATTCTAAATTTTTGTGAAAGCGAAATTCAATTATTTTTTAAACATAAATTTTAAATTCTTAAAAAACCCGATATTTAAAAGTAATTTGTTAGCGAAGAATTTTATCAAAATTTTTTATTTATTGTATTCTTTTTCGCAACTTTATTAAAATAGTAGATATTAAAAATAATTAAATTGGAATGTTTCAAAGAATTTGATCTCAAAGAAAAAGAAAAAAGTATCTTTTAGTGTCACAAATCTAAAAAAAGGTATCCAAATAATAGTAAATTGTAAAAAAATATGATCCACAAGTTCTGAACGTTCAAATGAGCGTAATTTTTTGCCATTATAAATATTTTCAAAGATTATTGACTTTTATAAACAGCAAAAACAAAAATAAACATTCAGAATCTTTATAATTAATTTTTTTAATAAAAAAAAAGGTGGTAAATAGTAGATTTTAGTAGATGAGTGAGAAGCCTGGATTCATAGAAATTAAAATTTTTAATTAATAGAAATTAAACTAATATATTTAATAATTTACCTGGAAATTTCCATTATATTGGCCGGATGGCACCGTCATGGTAGGATTCATTCTTTGTAATTCGTGTTCGGGTAGTTGTGATATATTCGCATTCAATGTCGTCGGACTTGGAATACTTGGAATCGGACTTAAATTTTGGAAATTCAGTGACAAATTTGGCGCATTTGAGCCCATGTGCGTTAAATTCGGCGATGACTGCATATTGGGATTGAGATTCTGTAGATTTGGAATTAGACTATGGTGATTGGCATTCATTGTAGGTCCGACGTGCGGAGAATTTTGTCGCATTTTCTCCGGATAGCCGTGTGATTTGACGAAATTTGAATAAGCTTGTAGTTGAGCCGGACTGGAAATCTCTTGTCCTTCCGGCACGGAAGGAGGAAGATTTGAATTATTTCTACAAAAAGAAAAATTACAATTAAAGGATAATTAGTTTTTTTTTAAAATAATTGTTAATTAACAGGGTTGACACAAAAATTTTATTTTATTTTTCCCTGACTTCCAGACAAAATTTTGACTTTTACCCTCACCCAGAATTATATTCTGATTCACTTAAAAAATTATTAGATACTCAAAAAAATGTTCGATTACTTTTTATTTACGAATTTCTGTAATTGTAAAATTATTCGAAAACATCAATAACTTATTTTTTAAATAAATATATTATCATTAATATTTTTCTATAGGAATTAAGATTTTCAAATTCAAACCTTTTGAAATTCAATAAATTATCAGAAAATTATTATCAAACATGAAGAAATTTAAGATGACAGAGTAATACAATCATTATTTTAGATCGTAAGAATATTGTAATTATAAATTCAAATTTTCAAAGATTTTAATTTTGAACCTTTTTCAAAATTCAATTATTTCTAAAAATTCACGCTATACCTAACGTTTTTAATATTCAATTATAATATAAAATTTTGAGAGAAATTAACTTTTTAATCAATTTTTATTAGAAAATTTTTCGAGAATTCAATTATTTAAATACAAAAATAAATAATTTATTAAATAATTGAATATTTCTTAAATTCGGCGAATTTGAACAAAAATTTTTAGAATAAATGCAATTTTCTATCATTTTATTTAAAATTATATTAAAATGATTGAAATCTTGCGAAGAATTTTATTTATGAAAATAATTAAATTTTTCCTAATAATTTTATTAAAAATTTTTTTAAAGAATCGATTTCCTGTGAAGACTTTTATTTGTAAAAATAATTGAATTTCCAAAGAAAAATATTATTATTTATGAAAATAATTAATTTCTTGTGAAGAATTTTATTTACATTTTTTCAAATAATTTAATTTTTCAGAATTTTTTGAAACTTTTTGAAAATAATTCAATTCTATCGAGAAATTTCATTAAAAAATTGAAAATAATTGAAATCTGAGAAAGAAATAAAAAAATTTTTTTAAATAATTGAATTGTTTCGCAGATTTTTACAAACATTTTTGACAATAATTCTATTTGTAGGAAAAATGTTATATTTTACGAAAATAAAATTGTATTCTATGAACAATTTCTTTATTATAACTTTTCAAATTTATTTAAATCGTTTTATCATCAAAATTTTCAAAAATAATTGAATTCCCGAGAAAAATTTTATTATTTTTGAAAATAATTGATTTCTTGCGAATAATTTTATTTGAAGTTTTTTAAATAATTGAATTGTTAAGAAGTAATCTATTGAAAGTAATTGAATTGTATAGAAAAATTTTGTTAACTACATCTTGTCAAGAATTTTTGCAAAATTATTTTAAATAATAGAATATTTAAAAGAATTTTATTAAAATTTTTCGAAATAATTGATAAAAATTTTAATAAATTCTTTGAAACAATTTCAACAAGAATTTAAAATTTTCTAAAAATAATTAAATTATTCTGAAAATATTTTTAAAAAATTCTATATAAAAATTACATTACTTTCAATGCAATTTTTAAATATATTCGTCAAAAAGATTGAAGGAATTCAATTATTTTCAAAAAATTATAAAATTCTTCAATTATTTTGGATATACCTACTTAATTTTAATAAAATTCTTTAAATAATTGAATTCTTTTAGAAAATTTTATTAAAATAGTAGATATTAAAAATAATTGAAATGAGGAAAATTTTTGAAAATAATTGAAATTTTGCCAAGAATTTTATTAAATTTTTTTGAAAATAATTGAATTTCGGAGAAGAATTTTATTATTTATAAAGATAATTGAAATTTCGACGAGAAAAAATTTTCTTTGATATAATTGAATTTCGGTAAACAGTTGTTTTTAAAATTTCTTTTTAAATTTATAAAAAATTGATATTTTCTAAAATTTCAAATTGAAACCTTTGAAGTTCATTTATTTATGAAGATTGTAAACGCAACTCTTTTGAAATCCAATTAATTTTCAAATTTTTAAGTAAAATTATTCATTACCGAAATAATATATTTATTTTATGATAGTTGTTCAAGAATTAAGTTATTTAAAAGGAAATTATTGTCAGAAATAGAAAAAAATTGAAGGGTTTGTATTAGAACTCTTGGCAATTTCATAATTTATAAGGTAAGCAAAAAAGAGTCAAAAAATTAAGAATTTTCTTATAAATTCTGAAAATTTAATTTTTTCCAATACTTTTAATAAAAATCCCTGACTTTTCCCTGATTTCCCTGACATATGGCAACCCTGATTAATTAAATTAACTTACCTGTAGTCTCGCCTAAGTCTAGGCGGACTAGAAGATCTGAGTGAATTTGATCTAGCGACTGTGCTAGTTTTTGGCAATCCATTCTCGGTACTTTTATCGCCAGGCATGAATTTTCCAATTCTCGGATCATTGTGTCCTCGTACAATTGTCTTTAAATCGAGAATTTCCGTCGGTGTAATTTCACTTGGATCAACAAGCGGTAGAGGACGATTTGTTGATTTGAGTATTTGATTGTTGCCGACAATTGACGCCCATTGTAAAGGTAAACCGACAAATTTTCCTTCACGTTTGTCAAATCCTGTGTGAACTCTATGCTCAAAATTCGTCGGTGTTGATATTTGTGGCTTCTTCTTCTTTTTGGCAAACATTCTAAAAAGAAGAAAAAAAAAAAAGAAAAGTTTTGTATTTTTATTAGAAATCGGTTTAGTCATAAAATCACATGACAAAAAAGACAATTATGTTTATCTTCTAAGGTTTTCTTTCGCTATTGTTGCACAATAATCCACTAAAGTAGTTATAATAATATTATAATTAAGAAACAGTAGAAAATCGATTATGTTGCGTAAGTCCCCGAGTTTTTAGTCGAAATAGTTCCAAAAGTATTTGCTTCAATTAGTTGAGCACTAATTAGTCTCTAATCCAACCAATTGGAGCAAAACACTTGTTTTCGTGTCAAATGTCAAAATAAATAGAATATTACAAATTCTTATTTTTAAAAATTACAATTTTTTTTTAATAAACATTACTACTTTTTTCGTTGTTGAAAACAAAATTAGTATAGTAATTAATAAAATTACTTACTCAAAAATGTATGAGTCCTTTGGAAAGTATCAATATTCTTGTCAGAGAGTCTGATATTGTGTCACTCCTTATTACGATAATGAAACACCTTCACCTTTTGTATTCCTTTTCTTGTGATTTTTGGGAGCGTCATATGCCGAGAATTTGATGATTTATGTCAATATTCGAAAGTAGCCTCAGGACAGGTGACATTGCACAGTTTAATTGTGTGAAATTTAGGAAAAACGAAGGGGACCGGGGGAAGCCAAGTGACAGCAACGCCTATTGAATTGTGATTTACTGTTTTCACTATTTAAAATGAACAATTTTCAATGAAATTTTTAACTCGCGATATAAATTGAAGATATTGCTCGCACATTCTAGTCCACTAGAAATCACAGTAACTTTGGAATTTCATTAAAAAACTAAAGGAAAAATCATTGCAAATATGCCGTTTCTTTACTTTCTTTGCGCACCACACGGCCGATTGACGAAGCTTCACAGGTATTCAGGTATTCACCGCTCCCGTGGGTTCCATGAATGTGTTGACTGTTGAGTACTCCAATTGCAATATTGCATGCAAGAAACACCTGTAATTTCCTTTAATAAAGTGTCTACAGTTTACTGACACTATAAATAAAGCAGTCATTTTTCTCGTTGGGGAAAATATTTTATTATAATAGCAAGTTTTTTCCATTTAATTTAATTTTAAAATTATTATTTTATTAGCAACAAAATATAAAAAAAAAATTTTTTTATAGTTTATTGAATTTATTATTTTTAAATGAATTACAATTTGCGGAAAAAATTGTTTGTTGCAAAAGTTTTTCATAATACTCAATAATGAATGTATTAAAGATATTCAAGGTTTTATATCATTACTACTATTTAATGTTATTAATTTTATTCGAAATTTATGTAAAAATGTAAATTTTAATTTTTCCTACTCATAAACTATAAACAAGGGTTGAGTTGTTTATAAATAATGTAGAGTTGGGTAGATGCATTTTGATAGAATATTGAAAAGTGTCTCTTGATTGGTGGGAAATATTTCCGGAAATCGTAAGCGCCAATCAGAACAGATGCACACGCTTCATTTGTTGTACGTACCCATCTCTGGTGAGTGAGCTGGACAAGTTTGACGGTGTGAACACCCACTAACTTGTCGTCGCCATTTTCTCATTTAGTGTGCATTCTCTGTTCGCGTTCATGGTTGTAATGAAAAGGCGGTATTCCTCGTGATAAACAAACCGGCTTTTTCGTAAAATAGATTATAAAATAACTGTGAATTTTATAAATTGTGATATATTTTAATTAGAAATAGTTTATTTTTTAATATTGTGGACAATCTTTGGAAAATACGTAGCAGTGACTTTAATCTACGTTGAGTGGTAACAAAACGAAAAATATTCCATATTCCGACAAGATGAAATTTACTCTTTGAAACAGTGATAGAATAATACTATATTAGTCAATGAAAATTGTTAATAAAGTGCCAGCAGTTTTGGAAGAACGGAAAAAACGTTTAAAAATTGTTATATGTAAGTTTTAGGTTATGTTTACTAACATTGATATTTTTCACCTTTTTTACACACTCATATCGTTTAGCATAAATAATTCATAAATACATTACAGAGTTATAGATAAAAATGTTTTATTTTTTGTATATTTTAGAATTTGATCAACATTTTTTATACAAATTTGAACTAATTATAGTCAAAGTTTAAGAAATTAAATACTTACAGATAAAGGTAAATAAGTGAGAAAGAGGACAGAAGTGTTGTATATAATTTATTGTATAAAATTTCTTTGTGACCTCTATTGACCTTTAAATCCCTTATCAAAATATTCGGTATAAAATATAAAATATTAAATTAAAATTAGTTAACTTTTTTAGATATAGGTTGTGGACCCAAAATCTTTTTTCTTTGAGAAAACATGTGGAGGTAAAGATGTGGGAAGACTGAAAAAAAGAGACAATAATATAGGGCACGTTAGTATTGTTGAAAATATTTTAATTTTTATAGTTTTAATTTAATAAGTTTGGTAAAAAAATGTAATAACGAAAAATCTTACGGGGAATGTAGAGCAGCATAACGAATAGGAGAAAATAATTGTAGCTAAATGTGAAATTCCACGCATTGGGTAAAGTGTAACTCCATGCTTGTGGTTTGGAAGCAGTGTACATTTTAGCAGCATAAATGCATAATAATTCTCCAGTAATTCCAATTGGATACAAAATGATAAACGTAGTGTACCTGTAATTTTAAGGGAAGTTTAAATCTTATTTCTTTTTTCCTCATTTGTAATTTTACTGCTTAATGAACTATTTTACCGAATTTTTTACTAAATTTATTTTATTCTCATAAATAATATTTTTTAGAGCAATTCAATTATTTTCAATACAATTCTAATAAAATTTCTTGAAAGAATACAATTATTTTTTAAAATATTAATTAAATTCGATTATTTTCAAGAATTTTAATATAAATTGAATTATTTTCAACAATTTTGATGAAATTCTTTTTAAAAAAACCATTATTTTCAAAATTTCTAATAAAATTCCTTTTAAAAAATCAATTATTTTCAAAAATTCAGATAAAACTCTTCGAAACAATTCAATTATTTTTATGAATTGTAAAATCCTCCACAAGAATACAATTATTTTCATAAATAAGAAAATTCTTCTCAAGATTAAAATATTTTCATAAATAATTAAATTTTTCAAAGAAAATCAATTATTTTTATAAATAATAAAATGTTCGGTGCCATTCAATTATTTTCAATAAAATTATAATAAAATTTCTTGAAAAAATACAATTATTTTTAAAAATATTAATTGCATTCAATTATTTTCAACAATTCGGATATAAAATTCTTCGAAACAATTCAATTATTTTTATAAATTGTTAAATTCTTGGCAAAAATTCAATTATTTTTGTAAAAAAAAGAAAATTCTTCTAAGAAATTCAATTAATTTTAAGATAATTTTAATAAAATATCTCTAACATGTTCAATTATTTTTCAAAATTTGCAATTAAAATTATTTTAAAAAATTACATTATTTTTACGAAATTTAATTAAATTCTTAAAAAAATGTAATTATTTACAAACACTCTAATAAAATTGTTTAAAAGAATTTAATTTTCTATGGATATAATTTTGATATACTTTAATAGAAAAATTATTAATAATTATTACATTTAATAATAAACATGATTATTTTAAAAACTTAAAAGAAAATTTTCATAAAATTCAATTACTTTCAAAATTTTCAGTAAAAATTATTTTTAAAAAACTCCATTATTTTCAAGTAAATTGAAATAAATTCTTTAAAACAATTCAATTATCTTACAGATTTATAATAAAAATCTTGCCAAAAATTAAATTATTTTTAATACAATTTTAATTACATTTTCTCGAAAGAAGTCAATTATTGAAAAAAATGTTGATAAAATTCTTGAAATTAATCCAATTATTTTCAAATTTTTTGACAAATACTTTGCAAGAATTCAATGATTTTACGTAAATTAATTTAAAAATTGAAAACATTTAAAAAGTTAGGAAACAAAAAAGCAAACAGCAACTAACTTCAAATTTTAACGCTTTTATAGATTTTCAAATTTTAAAATAGTAGTAGCATTGAAAATATTGTCAGTTTACAATGATTTACAATTATTACAGTAGATTAATTTGCCAAGAAAAAAGTTTAAAATAGTATACTTGCCTTAACCACACTAGGAAATGTGGCACAGATCCCATAAGATTCATAAAATAATAACCATAACGAATAATTTCGGTGACAGACCATGCCAATAAAGCTAATGGTAGGCCAGGGGATGCTGCGGCAAATTCTACTGGTGTTGCGAGTAGAACTCCACAAACCACCATAACACGACTCAAAACTTGGAAAATTGTAATAATTGGATTCGATGGAACCAATCCTGTCACTGCATGTATAATCTATCAATCAAAACATTATTTACTATTTTATTACTATTAACATTTTTCGAAACTAATATTTACACGAAAATTAATCTTCTACAAAAATTAGCATAGATTTAGTTACAAATTTAATAAGAATTTAATTACAATAAGAAAAAAATAAATTTAATTATTGAATTAAATTAAATTTAAAAGTAAGGACAAAACAAAAACAAGAGAAAGTTAAAAAGATATTTTTACATACTTCTAAAGCTGCAGCATTTTGAAAAACAATTACAGATGTTTTAACAGTGTCCCACAGAGTTCTTCCTTGAAATCCACCAGACAAATGACTTACAAGTAGATACAAAATTAAACTCCATCTATAAAATAATTTTTTAAGTCACAAACAATGAATTGAAACATTACAATAATGAAAATACATTTAAACATCACAACAATAAAAAATTAATACAAACAATTAATGAATAATAAATAGTTTTATACTTTAAATTTATCTTACCCCAATGTTTGAATTGCATTGTAACTTCGCAAATAAAACTTTGCCAATGCTCCAATTTCCCTGGATTTTTTACTTGCCATTTTTGTAAATTAATTTTTATCTTTTTTTTCTTATTTCAGTGTGTTCCCAAAAAAAAAAAACGCTTTAATGATGATCGTGTTGAAAAGCGAATGAGCAGTGACTTGGCATAATCAGTTATAGTGTCTACGTCGTCATTAACATATTCATAACAGGTAATTTAAATTTACACATTACATTGCTTAAAAAACAATCTAATTGTATAATTAATTTTTTTTAATTTAAATTTTATTCCGTGTACCTAGTAGATGTGGAAATACCGCAAAATGGTAATTTTCTTGAAAATAATTTGTTGATTATCAACAAAATAAGGTTAGGTTATACAGTTTTATGTCAAAATGTTTTTTTCTTTAGTGATTTTTGAGGTTTATTGACCTTTTTTTTACGTAAAATACACACTTCTGACAGTTCTGACGTCATAGTTAAACTTGACAGATTTGTATACGTGAAAAGGGTTTACTGAAAATATGTGTAAGCACCCTTATAGTCACGTCAAAATGAAAAATTGTGCAGGTGCCCTTAGCTTGTCTCGCAACTTGTTTAAACGTGAATCAGAGCGTCTGATTGGTTCTTTTCTTTCCGGTAATATTACCCACCAATCATGAACCACGCGATTAGTATACTGATATTTCATTGGTTTATGTTACATTGAGATTGATAGCTACCCAACCCTGAAATTACAGTTAGAAATTTAAATCTAATCTTGCGCTTGTCTTTTAATGTTGCAATTTGCAAAAATGTGCTTTTGAACGTAAAAAGTTTATAGTGCGTTTAACGTGATTTTCTTTTTGTTGTAAAGTGATTTAATTTTGTTTTTAAACTCATTCTTGGTGCATATTCTTCAGTAATAATGAAGTGATAATAATTTCAGATTTTCCCGTTCATTATAAGTCATGAACGTAATGTGCTTAAACAGTAAAAGTTGTCGAATTTTCAAGAGTATAAGTCACTGTAGGCAACAATTTCGAAGAATTATTAGTAGAAATATAAGTGAAAATAATTTTATCTATGGATCGCATGTTTTGGAAGCGAAAAACAATGGAATGCCTATTGTTGCATTGGAATCGACGATTATTACGCATGGCATGCCCTATCCTCAGAATTTGGAAACCGCATTGCAAGTTGAATCCGCCGTGAGAGAAAATGTGAGTGGAAATTAGTTTTTTATTTATTAACCTTGAATTTAATGGAATTTTCTATATTTTAATAGTTAAAAATTTATAATTTTGGTGTTTACTTTTTCAACTTGTGGAGGTAAACAGTAAACATAAACTTGAACTTAACCCTTTTAGTAAAGAATTTGATAGACTCAAGTTTTATAATTGTTTTGACACATAGAAAATTGTATTTGTAAAATAGTTTTTGACATTATAAAAGAAACTCGTTTTTGTTTTTTTTTACAATGCAATTGTTTATATTACGGAAATCTTTACTTAAATATTTGAAAATTTTATTATTTTTCTCTAAATGAAATATTTAAAATCAGGGTTGCCACATGTCAGTGAAATCAGGGATTTTTATTAGAAGTACTGGAAAAAAATTAAATGTTTAGAATTTATATGAAAATTCTCAATTTTTGTGTCTTTTTGTTTGCCTCATAAACTATGAAATTACCACAAATTCTAAAAAAAAAACTTTCAATTTTTTCTATTTCTTACAATAATTTATTTTGAATAACATTAATTCCTTTGGAGAACTGCCATAAAGTGATCATTTATAAATCATTTAATGAACTATTTATTGAAAATTTTTAATTTCAATTCTGTTGAAATTAGTTTTAATTTTAAAAGTTTTAACGCAATTTTTAAAAAAAAAATTCAACTATCTTAATAAATATCAAAATTCTTTCCCGAAAATCAATTATATTCAAACATTAAAAAAAAATTATCGTCAACATTTCAATTATGTTCTGTAAAGAGCAAAATTCTTTACCAAAATTCATTTATATTAAGGAATTTTAATAAAATCCATTGCAAAATTCAATGATTTTCATAAATAACAATATTCATCACAAGAATTCAATTATTTTCAAATTTAATAAAATTCTTCGCAGAAATTCAATTCTTTTCGAAAAATCTAAAAAAAATTGTCAACATTTCAATTATATTTATAAATGAATAGCAAAATTCAATTATTTTCAGGAATTTTACTAAAATTCATTGCAAAATTCAATCATTTTCATAAATAATAGTATTCATAACAAAAATTCAATTATTTTCAAAAATTTTTCTTAATTCAATGATTTTCAATATTATACCTACTACTATAATAAAATTTTTCAAAAGAATTCAATTATTAGACAAAAATTTTGATAAAATTCTACACAAACATTAAATTCTTGTCCAAAAAAAAAAAAAAAAAAAAATTCACATGAATTCAATTATTTATAATAGAAATTGCGTAAATTTTTTCGACAATTTCAAATGTTTTAAAATTTGGCTTTAAATTCTTTACAGTAATTCAATTATTTTTATAAATTTTAAACTTCCTTTCTGTGATTTAATTATTTTCATAAATAATAAAATCATTCGGAAGAAGTAAATTATTTTCATAACAAACAATATAAAATGTAATTATTCTTAAAAATTTTATTAAAATTCGACGAATTAAATGAAACTAATTTTTTCCAAAAAGCTTAATCGAAATATTTGAAAATTATTTCAAGTTTTTATTTTCTAAGGTATATTTTATTTGAAGAATTTACGAATGATCGAAATTTAATTTTTAATTAAAAATTAATTTATTTAAAGAAAAATTTTATAGTTAAAAATTCTAGAATATAATGATTGAATTGAAATGATCTTTAATTATTATAAATTATTGAATTTCAAAAGGTTTGAGTTCGAAATTTTTGAAAATCTTAATTCCTATGAAAAAATAACAATGATTAAATATAAAAAATGAAGTTATTGATGTTTTTGAATAAATTTTACAAATATTCTTTAAGGTCAGGGAAAAAGTCAAAATTTTGTCTAAAAATCAGGGAGAAGTCAAGGAAAAACAAAATTAAATTTTTTGGCAACCCTCATCTTTTAAAATAGTAAAAATAATTTACACTGCGGCGTTTTTAGTCTTTTTTTACTTGACTATATATTAAATAAAAAAAATAATATAAAAGATAATTAAATTACAAATATAAATAATATAAAATGTAGTTAAAATTTTATTTAAATTTGTGTAAACTTTTTCTGATTGTCCGATTTTCTTTTTGTCTTTTGTGTCATTAATTTATTTTTGAAGGGCGCGATTCCAGCAACGATAGCAATTTTAGATGGTAAAGTGCACATTGGAGTTAATAAAAAAGAAATAGAGCAATTATCAAAGACACAACGTGAAAAAGTAATAAAGTGCTCACGACGAGATTTATCGTATGTAATTTCTCAAAAATTGAATGGCAGCACCACAGTATGCGGTACAATGTTATTAGCAAATTTGGCTGGAATAGAAATTATGGCCACTGGAGGAATTGGTGGTGTTCATCGTGGCGCTGAATTAAATTTCGATGTCAGTGCTGATTTAACAGAACTTGGCCGTACTCCTGTTACCGTTGTTTGTGCAGGAGTCAAAGCTATTCTCGATATACCGAAAACATTAGAATATTTGGTCAGTATTTCATAATTTACACTGAAATTTTTTCATTTCGTTGTAATGTTTAATTAAAATTGATAATTGAATAATTAATAAAATTAAAAAGATTTTAAAAATTAATAAAATTAAATACAAATAAAATTCAATAAATAAAATAGAGTTGATTAATCAATGTTAATTTTTAATAATAAAATTAAATACAATAAAATTAATACAATAAAATTAATAAAATTTATATACAAATAAATAATTAATAAAATTAAATAAATATAAATTCGTTAATTTATTTAAAAGAATTAAATTTGCAAAGAACTTGAATTTCATTGAAATAATTTAACATTTACTATTGAAGTGAAAACAAATAATTACATTAAATCGGGAAATAAATAATTAATGAATTTTTATTTTAAATATATTAAATAATGAATATTTTCAAAAAATGAATGAATGAAAAAAAAGAAATTTTGTTGACAGGAAACAAAAGGCGTGCCTGTCATAACAATTGGCGAAAGTAATAATTTCCCGGCATTTTACAGTCGTGAGACTTTTGATAAAATAAAAGCGCCTATGAAATTATCAAATGCAATGGAAGCTGCATCTTTAATTAGAACTCAAAGAGCATTAAATATTAATTCTGGGTTGTTGTTCGCTGTTCCTATTCCAGAAAGTCATGCACTCGATCCTAATGAGATTGAAATTAATATACAAAAAGCTCTATTAAAAGCAAATGAAAATAATATTACTGGAAAAGAAATTACTCCATTTCTTTTGCAAGAACTTGCTGAACTCACAGTTGGACAATCAGTGCAATCTAGTACTATATTTTTATTATGATGAATTTTAATTTAATGTAACTTCTTATAATTTCATTAAATTAATAGAAATAGTATTAAATAATATTAATGAACTTGTTGAAAATTCTTTTCTTTTTCAGATATCGCTTTAATTACAAACAATGCAAAAGTTGCTGCGGAAATAGCAAGAAATCTTAATTCTAAAACTGAAAATGATGTTGAAGAAACTTCTGGTTCGAAAGGAAGACCTGTAAGTAATTTTTTATTATTGTGAAGAAAATGTTCTAATTTTATATGTAGGCCTCGGATAATATGATTTTTTTTATTTTTACAAATATTTTTAAAAAATTAGACTTTTTTGACTTATTTTAATAAAATGCGACTATTTTTACTTTTATTTCATAAAAATTAGTCAAAATAATTGATTTAGAGACAAATTTTAATTAAAAACTCTAAAAAATAATTGAATTTTAGAAGAGTTGTTGCAGAAATTTTTTTGAAAATAAACTTAATTGAAAAAATTTGAATAGTCCAAATTTTGTAAAATTGAATTTTAAATTGTATTTTAAGTGAACTTTCCTTTTCTTTTTTGAATTTTCTGAAACTTATTCAAAATAATTGATTTAGAAAAGAATTTAGCTTAGAAATTTTAGAAAATCTTTGAATATTGGAAGAGTTTTCGTAGAAATAATTAAAGTTCAAAAGGCTTTAAATTGAAATTTTTCAAGATTTGAGTTTAGAATAATTTTAATTAAAAATCTAAAATTCCATTATTTTCAATTTAAATTCACTAAAAATTTTGAGTAAAATTTTTTTTAAAGAGCTATTTATTATAGTAATTGTTTGGATATTTTAAACAGATTCAATGTAAAAATTTCCGAATAGGTAATCAAAATTTAGTGAAATTAAATTGAAAACAATTGAATTTTTGATTATTTTAAGTGAAGTTCCTTCTATTTTGAATAATTGAATTCTCATGCAACTTTTTCAAAATTATTAAAAATACCAAATTGATTTAGAAACAAATTTTATTAAAAGAAACTATAATTGAATTTTTGAGAATTTCAGTAACAATTATTAAAAATAATTAAATTTCGTAAGGTTTTAACTTAAAATTTTTTGTAAATTTCAACTCTTGTAGAAATTTAATTATTATATATTTAAATCTGCATTTAAAAAATTATAAAACTTTAGAATCATTTTAGATAAAAATTCTAGAAAATAATTAAATTTTGGAAAAATTACAGTCGCAAATTTTTAAATGTAATGCAATTTCAGAGGGTTTGGAATTAATTTTTTTTTAATTTAGACTCCCATGAAAAAATATAATACAAAAGGCATTTAAATATTTATTTAATAAGTTTATTAAAGTTATGAACAACTGAATTCATAAATTTTGAAAAAATTGGGTTTTCGAAAAATAGTAATAAATATTTTTTGAAAATAATTATTAAATTATTTTATTTATTTATATTTATTCCCGAAAGTAATTAATTGAAAATTATCAGACAATTGTAAATTTTGTCAAATTTTATAGAAATAAATTTTTTATTTTGAATTTTGAAGAATTTTATTCCAAGTTTTTAAAAATAATCGTGTTTCTGAAAAAAATGTAAAAAAGTTTTGGATATATTTTAATTTTGCATAAACTTAGGATTTGAAGTTATTATCAAAATAAGGGAAAAAGTTAAAAATTTTTTTAAAAATCAGGGAGCAGTTAGGTAGAACTCTGAATAAAATAAACGACTTTTTCGAATTTTGTTCATCATTTGAATCGACTAAAACAATTTTTTTAGGTTTTAAAGTCCATCCGAGGCCTTAAGTACTAAAAAATTTTTAAATATTCACGTATTTCAAGAATAAATTATTTTTTTTTATTAGAATTAAATTTTTCTAAGATAAACAATTGTTTATTGAAGTTGGCGTCGACGCTCAGCGTCAAAAATGATTTTTTTAGTTTCGAAAATGGCACTAATTTTACTGCTTTCATTCATTTAGAATTCTTTAATTTTCCATTTAACTATTTAACTACAAAATCATTTTAAAAAATTGTTGAATTTTTTTTTGGTTTTGAAGAAAGAAAATGTTTTTTTGACTTTTTATCGACGACGCTAATTTCAGATAACACATTATATTCTGTAAATATTCAAATTTTGATTAGAGTGGATTAAAAAATAATTACAACTTGAATTATTTTTAAAAATTATATTCTTGTAAAGCAAATTGTCGAACATTATTTTGTCAACTCTGTACACTCTCTACCGAAATATTAGATTATACAAATCCAGTACCATTATTACAGTTAACTAACGTTTAAATAAACTAGCTAAATAATTTGTTTACATTATTTTTTACTCTTCTTTTTTTTCAAGGTGGTTATTGGTGGAGCTGTTTTCGACACGATTTTGCAGGTGAAGGAACTTCAGATAACGGTGAGTCCCATTTCGTTAATTATTATTATTATTATAATTATTATTATATATATTTATATGTATATTAAGCTAATATTAATAACCGAATCAGTTTAATATCAATTTAAACTAAGTATTATAATATTTACATACATAATTACGACGATTTTTTATGATTTCATATATATACACATTTAGATTTATCGAGTTTAAACACGTAAATCAATTTTTTACTGAGACATGGGGAAAGGAAAATTTAATAACAAATTTTCAATGATAAAAATTTTAAACTAACGAATTTAGAATGTTCTAATTGTTAACATTCAATTTGAAAAATTTCTTACATATTAATTTATAAACGAATGGTTTTTTGTAAACTTAATCATGCACTCGATCATGTTCATGCAAAAATTATTGTGTAGCTATGAAAATATGTTTTTTTTTATAAATTTTAGATGGGTATATTTATCGGTGCGCTTAAGTAAAGAAAAAGAAATGAAGTATTCAAGAATTTTCAGAACTATTGTTGCATTGTCACATTTGTTATTCGAATATTTATCATATTTCAATTGTGAATTTTTCATTTTTGTAAAATTAAGGAAGAAGTGAAATTCAATTTTTAAAAAAGAGTTCATTTTATACAGCGAGATAACTTAAGATATTTCTTTAAATAATTAAATCTTTTTTTTTATTGTCATTTTTTAGGATTATTTTTAATTTTATTAAAAAGCGAACTGATGTTTTACGTATTCATTAAACGAATCCAATGAATTATTCATAATTGAAAGTGATAAAAATTATGAAGAGAATTAATAAAACGGAATTTCTCTTATTTTCTAAAAAAAAAATGGAATGAATTTTTTTTCCGTTTAATAATTTTTCTGTAATCTACTTGCAGTTGAGAAAAATTTATACGAGATTATTGAAAATAATTTTTAATAATTCTATTATTTTAATGTATAATTAGAATTATTATTTAGTCGTGCTTTAAAAGAGGAAAAAATTAGATATTTTCTATGAAGACTTTTTATTACTATTTTTATAATCTAGAAAAATTTATATTTGTATTTTAACCAAATTTTGTCATATTTTTTCCATAGTAATTTTTTTTATAAGAATTTCTATTTTAAAATTTACTGTAAATTTTATTTTTTCATTTTTACTAATAATTATTAGCATTATAATTATAATATAATTAAATAATTGTTAGTAAATTTTAAATTGATTACTTTTATTTGTTAAATTACTTTTACTAATAATTATTCGTACTATAATTAAAATATATTTAAATTATAATATAAATAAATAATTAGTATTATAAGTATTAATTATTACTGTGAATTGTAACAATAGTTGTGAATATTCTCAATATTATGAAAAAATTTAGATTTTCGAAGAATTCGACAAGATTTTTTTGTTTTTTGTTTAGTAAAAATTTGGTGTCAAAAGATACACAACTAAGATAAATCTTTCAATAATCACAGTTATACAGAAAATGCATATAATTCTACGTATGTTTCATAAGTTACTCATTTTTAATTATAAGTGATCATACATTTTATTATTTAAATGCAAAACAGTTTAAATGGGAATTTGCTACAACAGAACACACAGTGTTCACGGGGAATTTTGACAAAACCCATAATCACAGGTTTAATTGTTTCTAAGTGAGGCCTTTTTGAAATTATTTTCAAAGAGAGAAAGAAAATTTTTTCCTAAAATAAAATTAAGGCAAATCGAAGTTATTTTTGAGAGAATTCAAAAAATATTCTTCATAAATTTCTTCTCTGTTATTAAAATATTTTTTTTATATTCAAAATCGTTAAAGTATTTATAAAAATACATTTAACTATTCTGAAAATTCGATATTTTAAGTATTTAAAAAAAAATTGCTGACATACTTTTTGCAAATTTTTTTTTAAAATCGATACTTGAAAGTTGTGAAAAAAATTTCTGTTTTTTTTCTTATAGTAATGTATATAAATAAAAATACTAATAAATATAATTTTTTTAATCTGTAGGTATTTTTAATTATATGATATAATTATGCAATATAATTGTATGATATAAATTAGAACCTATACAGAATAAATAAATTATACTTTTTAACTTAAAAATTTAAATATTTCTTGAGCACTCTTTATACATATTTTCGCTTTTCATTCATTTTTTTTATATACAGAAAAAGTATAGATTTTTCTTTTTTTCACAAAATAGACCTCTTGACACTAAAGAAAAACGATTTCCACTTCATTGTTTAACAGAACCAGAAAAATTAATTACACTTGAATGAAAGAATAAAAATAATTGAAATTAAATTTCTTGCTTTCATTCATACATTCTATAGGAGTAATATCTAAAATACTATCAATCCATTGAATCATTAGATTATTATGAATATAATTTCCCATCTCACAATTAAGCTATAGTTGTTGGATTTTAAGCAGGCACTATTTAAAGCTCCCTCTTTCTCACTGTGTAACCTTATATGTATTAAACGTCCTAAAGATAAAATATTGATTTTTTTTTACAAATTATTAAATACTCTAAAGCAGTTTTTCGTGGCAATAATGTGTATACGTGTGTAGAGATATTGTGATCAATCGGTTCATGGAAGTATCAACATTAATAATTCATTGAAAATCGAATAATAAAGAAAAAAGGAAAAACTAGAATTGTTCAAATTTTCCCCGAAGATTTTTCTTTTGTTTCCGTTTTAATTTGTAATGAATTCAATTGACTAAGTTTTCCATTCCCGCCCACATATTCTAATATAAAAATTATTTTCAGAATATACTGAGAATAATCTTTATAATGCTCGGAATCTCTAAAAAAAAATGTTATTCAATTTTTTTTTTCGTTTTCTGAAAATATAAAAAAATTATTTACAAATTTTTTCCTTTTAGAAAAATCTTTTTTGATTAAATCTTATTAATAATGACAATAATAATTATAATTTTTTACAAAAAAAATATAATAATTGTTATTATCATCATTGTGTTATTTTTTTTGTTATTATAATAATGATAATGAAAATGATAATAACATTAAGAATAATATTTATAATTTATAAATTATAAATAACGGTAAATTTGAACAATTTTAGTTTAAAGTAATTCTACTGATTTTTTTTTTATATTTGGAAAAAAATGAATTAAAATGCCATGAAGTTTCTATATGATTGGGCGGTTCACGTCAACACTGCAGCCTTATATGTTACTTACAATCAAAATCTATTTCTTAATTATAATATTTTATTTACATAATTAATGATAAAGGCTAGTTGTAAATGTGCCTGCTGCCTGCGATTCGTGTAAGCTTTTGATATTTGTTTCTGAATATAGTTCGATGATTTTTATTCTTTTTTTTTAAATAAATTAAATTAGATGCACCCACACGATATAGTCACTGTTAAAAGTCAATAATATTTTTTAAACAACTCGAAATTTATTTTTTATTGGTCGTTTCTCACTTTTTTGGTTATTATTTATTTATAATTATTGCAAATATAATTAATTTCAGCAAAAATTTTTTTTCTAATTAAATATTTTCTAAAAATTATTTCCAAAGGGAAATGATATTATTTATTAAATAAATAATAGTAAATGTTAATATTTAATAAATAATAATAAATATTACTATTAAATAAATAATAATAAATTAAAATTGAAAAATAATTTAAGTTTTTACATTTATTTTGTTAGTAATTAATCTTTTCGATATAAAAAATATTTTTTAATAAAATACAAAATGTAAAATGTAAAATAACTAAAAAATATGAATTATTGATTAAAATATATTAATAGTAATTATTAATTATAAGAAACCAAGAGCAGTAATAATTCATATTTAATAATATTTAATAAAAAGTAATTTATTCTATCAAATAGAAACGTCATTAAAAAATAAATGAAAATTTGTTTAAATTTTTTAATTTCTAGAATTAACTTTTGTTAGAGACTGATGTAAGTCAACTACCTTAGAGGATATTGAAAATCTGTAGAATCACTTATTTATCTTGATGAATTAAGTAGGGTTCTTCGGATGCTATTCTTTTAAAAAATCGATTTTCTTTAAATTTTCTTATTTAAATTTTACAGAAAATATTTCTTTTGTGCACGTTTTAAATATGATAAAAAAATTTCTTAAAATACATGAAAACAAAATATTTATAAATTTTCCATTGTTTTATATAAGAAAAAAAGCATTGAAACTTAATTCAAATTTTTATTTTTATTCAACTAAAAGGAATTTTCAAAAATTTTATTTAATACGTAGAATGAAGAATATTTTCCACTGAAATTAGAATAAGAAAATTGATTTTCGCCATTAATAGCAAATGGAGAATGTCCTTATAACAAATTTAACAAACAATACAAAGAGTTTTTTTTTTTAAAGTATCTTGTAAAGAGAAAATATATAACTTAAACAATTCGTTTTAAGTTTTTTAAAAATTTTTTTTACTCTTTTTAGTAATAATTTTATTTAAATATTAATAATTAATACTTTCATTAAATTTTTTGCAACAATTATATAATTTTAGGTAAACGTCCGTTAATTGAATATGAAAAATAAAATAGCAAATAATAGAAATTAATAATTAATAAATTGTTTCTCAATTTTTAATTCTACAGATTTAACGATTTTCTTTCGTTAATAATAATTTGACTTAATCTTGATCTCAAATGTTCTTTTTTTTAAATGACACACTCTTTGCGATTGATTGAATTTAAAAGAAGCTATGAAATTTCAGTCGATTTTTCAGAAATTTTTTTCCTCGAATAAATTCTACTCATTATGTAATTTCTCGGGATTTTATATCATTTTTTAAAATTTAATTCCATTGGGAGAGAAATTTGTTATATATTATTTCGATTCGAAAGAAATTCCAGCCTTTTTTTTATTAGTATGTTGATTGAAATATTTTTAATATATTTTTTCAGTTTGGTACTATAATGAGGTTGCAAAATTAAATGATTATTATGTTAATCTTACCCTGTTGTCTAAATATAGGTACTTTTTGTAAGTTTTTTTATATTGTACATTAAGTGGATTCGAAAGCCATTTTGAGCTTCTAAAAAGCTAACGCATGTAGAATTTTATCATTATTCAAAGTATTTTTGTAATATTAAATTTATATATTTATATATTAATATGTTTTTTTGGGGGGAGGGAGGGAGGGTAATTTTCTTTATGGTGACATATAAAAAACATGTTTTTCACTTAATAAGCGGGCGACCGATATATATATTGCTTATATAAGTTCAATAGTAATCTTTTAATTTACGTACATTTTATTATTTTATACTAATAAACATCCTTTCTCATTTTTCAAATTCGCGTTACCCTACAGTCAATTACAACCTAACTAGGAAGCCATTTATTTTTAGTTATACTCTTATCTTAGCAATTTAGTGAATAATATACAAATCAATACAGATTACTCGTGCTAATAAATATACTCGTTTAACATTTTACCGTCAATCGTTATTTCAAATTGTCTCTCTAAAATACTCATTAATCTCAATATTACTTTAATTTCATTTAATTATCTTCCATTACACAAAAAGTAATAAAATGAATACATATTTAATTTGGTAAATACGAGTAAATGAAAGTTTGATAATTTTACACTTTGTTATTATCCAGAAAAAAGTAATATTTATTTTACAAGGGAAAATTCTCTTTTAATATTCTCTCAATTTATCCTCTCAAAATAAAAGTATCTTTGAATGGAGAATATTTTTAATCTTTGGTTGTTAATTAAACAAGAGACTTTTTTGATGTTTTGATCTCAAAAACACTGAATTTGAATGAAATAAATAAATATATTTTTTTTAGGGGACAGTTTTTCTAAAAACCTTTTCTCTAATCTTTTATTTTCTAAAATTTTTTTTAATGAAAAATGGTTCTGAACAAATGAAAGAAATTTTCTGACAAATATAAATATTTTCTAAAATTACTGGATGATATAAAAAATGAAATCAAAAATTTTGAATCATTGTAAAGAATTTTTCATACGAGACGTAATATTATTGCAATAAAAATTTGAATTTGAATTTGAAGAAGAAATAAATTTCGTTCATTTGAATGTTGAGAACTTGAACGAAATTTAGTTAATTCTTCTTCAAACTAAATTTTTATTACAATAATTTTGTGTCACTATCAGAAAATTAGTTGCAAAGCTTCTAAATGTAAAATTAAAGTTTTTAATTTTTTATTGCAATCAGTAATTTATGAAAATATTTTAAATTTAAATATTTCTTTCATTTGAAGGTTAAAAACTTGCAGAACACAATGTTTTTTTTTTAATATTAAGTTTATAAATTAACAATAATAAATGTTTGTCACAACATAAATTTAAAAACTCTATTTAAAAATAATTTTTAGAATCATTAGAAATTTTATTTTTAGAGGAAAAAAGAATTAGAAAACATTTTTTAGAAAAAGTGATCACCTACCTAAATACTGCATTTAGACTTTTTATTACAAAATAATTTTGAAAAAAAGGTTTTAACAAAAAGGAAATATTAAATCAACTGGTCTAAAAATTAATAACATCAACAATGAATATGAATGATGATCGACATCGGAAAATTAATTATTATTAATTAAATAATTAATTATTAGTTCATAAACATAATTGTCAAGAACTCACAAGTTCTGAACGTTAAAATAAAATAACATTTTTTTTTATATAATTATTTTCGAAAATTACTGTCTACGAGAAAAAGCAGTAACGAAATTAAACATTTCAAATCTTTATAATTTATTCATTTTATATTTTGACAGAATATTATTTTAGTAGAATTTAAATTTTAAGAGGAAATAAATAAATTTCGTTCATTTGAAAGTTCAGAATTTTAGGACATAATTTTCAAATAATATATGCACTAATACATGTCCTTAAAGATGTGAACGTTCAAATAAATAAAATATATTTATTTCTTTTTCAAATTCAAATATTACACTACGTCACAAATTAAAAAATAGTTCATAAAGCTTCAAAATTTAATTTGTTTTTCATTTTCATTTATTTTGGTTCATTTCATTCAATGACGAATCTTTGAAAATGTTTAGATTGAAAAAGAATATTTCGTTCACTTGAACGTTCAAAATTTTTGGAACATATAGAGGAAAATTCTCAAAGAATTTTACTTTTGATACAATTAAATTTAGAGAAATCGGCAAAAATTAAACGATTATTTTATTTAGGATTTGTAATGATTATAATTATTTTCTTTTTTCCCTCCTTTTCAATAAAGAAAAGAAAAGAAATAGAGAGAGATGACAATTTGAATTAATAATTCACTTTTTATAAATCTCAAAATATCGGATGAAAATGAAAGTAATCTTTTTGAAATTAACATAATTTAATGAAATTAAACAAATTGTGCGTTATCATTGAAATTTGCAATTTTTTTTTACTTATACGTACGATTTTTCTTTTCTTTAAAAATTATTTTTGATTTGCTTTCGAATAATCGAAAAACGTTCAATTGTTTTAAAGTAAAACACTGCAGTAGGAAAGCTATTGTCGTAAAAATCGAATAAAAGCATATTTATGGACGTCTTGAGTTCGAGTGGCGTTTTACAGTCTTTGAAATAGTTCAGAGCAATAGCTTCAATTTAAGAAGAGAAAAGAAAGAAAAAAACAGAAACGGCAGGATAATCTTTTATTTGATGTGGTCACGCGTTTTCTTTTGCTTTTATATTATGTACATACGTTAAAGATAGTTATTTTAAAAGAAAAGAAAACTTCTCCTTTTTAAAGTTTATAAAATATTTGCGGATTTATTATAGTTTTGGTTTTAAAACACGAGTATTCTGTATTAAACTAGGCCAATTGACTGCACTTTTTCAGTCTAATAATTTAAAAAGAAAAAACCTCAAGTAATTGGTGTTGCCCTTTGATAACTTAAGTTATTGTACAGTTTTTGTCGACTTTACTCCTTTTTTCTGACTATATTATTCAAAGTTCTTCTTCTTCTTCATCTTCTTTGGCTATAATGTTTTATATATAGTAAAAAAGAAAATTAATTATGCATACATGGGAGAAAAATGTGAAAAATAATAGGCCGATTAGGAAAGTGTTTTATGTATATGTATGAATTATATAATTGCATGCTTGTGATTTTTTGGTATAGTATATAATAGGTCCGGCCTTAATTTCTTTTTTGTTTTTTGTATCTACATGCATATCTGGTTTCTTTTTTTAAGGCATATCCTGTCTCAGCCTTTGGCTCATCTTTTGGATTTGAAAAAAAAGAGAGAGAAAAAAAAATGTTTGTTCACTTATATACTGATAGCTCGGCAGGTCGATTATTTTTATAAAGAAAACGATTTGAAGTGTTTCGCCAGAATTTCCATAGTCAGGTTCGTTTACTCTGATTTCCGATCGTCACACCAACCCCTGGACTTCCACCATTTGAAAGTGTTAGTCTTCTATTAAATTCTCTCATTTCGTAATTATTGTTGCCATTAGTTTTTTCTTTTGAATTACAATTGTAATTTGTTGTGGTGGGAGTTGTTTCCTCCAATATCAGAGCACAATGACTGTTCGTATCACTATCTGCACCTCCATCTTGCAAATTATTTGCTAATAATGGATGTTTACTAACGACACTTTCGTCTGTTTGAAGTAACAGCGATGCATTACCTGCAAAAATTTAGAGATTCTTCTAATTTCAACGGACATAAATTCCACCTAAAGAAATGCAAGGATAAAATTATAACTTACCGGAAGGTACCGTAACCGTCGGCAGTGTTGTACGACGCACGATATTTCCGTTGTTCGTCGTATCCAGAGGTCCTTGTGAAAAGGATTGTATAAATGTGGTTGTTTGCGGTGGTGGTTCACGTAGTAGTTGTATTTTTTGTATCATCTCTCGAATTTCGTAACGAAGAATTCCGAGAAAACATAATTTAGTAAAAGCGATAACACAGAAACCAAGGACAAAGAGTAGGTCCGCGGTTTTTCTCAGCCAATCCATTAAATATTCTTCACAACCTTTGGCGTACGTTGGTTCGCAAACTTCGCTTACATTTGAACTTGGCTCACAGCATGTATGTGGCCAACGTGATCCAAAATCTTGTGGATCCGTCACTCCGCAACATGAGAAATCCCTTTGTAGACGATCCCACTGCTCACTAAATCGTGTTTCCTTGTTGTAATCACCCTGTAGCAACAACTCGGTAATTAATAACATTAAAATAATATTTTCCTCAATGATAGTGTGTCAATTTTTTAAACAAAATTCTAGCAAAATAATATCTCTAGATATCAGAGTTAGATATTCAGGGAACCATGTAAAATAAACATTTTAAAGAATAAGGTGTTAATCAGTATAAAAATCAAAATTAGTCAGCACTTTTATTCATTTAAATCCAGTGACTGACATCTATTCTCTCTTGATTATATTCAAAAATTGTGGAATTTTCCTTATACTCAAAAATTAGAGAAAAATGAGTTTTTTTTTTAGAATAAAGAATCAAAACTAAATATAAATAGATACATCAATTTTATAGATAACAATAAGAAAAACTTTGGAAAACTTTTATCTTTCTAAAGTTCCCCTATTGAAAATCAGGAAATTGATAATAAAAAAATACGGTTTGTTGCATTTTAGTATTCTTCAAAACTTTATATATTTGTAAAATATTTACTTCTTTCTCAATAATATATAAGAGTACAAAATGTCGGTTTTTATATTCTTTGATCCTTTTATTATTATTGTACAAGAAAAGCTTTTATGGTCTTTGCAATCTATTGAAAGTTTGATTTCGGAAAATTCGAACTAATTGAAATCAAAGAAAATTTCTGATTGATGATTTGATCTCTAATCTAAAAAAGTTTTTGGTTATTTTAGAGAAATGGAAAGTGATGAATACAGAAAGATTAAATTACTAATAGATTTTCTATAGTTGCATTCGAAATATTGTTCATTCTAATTATATACACTTGTATCGATTTTTCCTTTTTTCGAATTAATAATAATGCACGAGACGAAATTATATTTTAATTTAATTATTCTGTCGCAGAATTACTGGTGACAATTATTTTTAATTAGATAAAGTTGTATCGATCTTAACAAAATCAAATTTTATTCGAACGTATTTTCATTCAGCAGATTTATCGCATTATGAAATTTCTATTTCTATCTGGTTTTCTTCTTGAGGAATTTCTATTAAATCTGAATTTTCATTTGACCGCAATTTTAGTTCTTTAGAAATCTGTAGGAGTGAAAACTGTTTCTAAAAGTTGACTCAAGGTTGTTGGTTTTGGTTATTGGTCTGTTGTCCCCTAAGGACACCTAAGAGTGTGGTCCCATGTTGATCAGAAAACGTAAAGCAGAACAGAATTTCATGAGTACAATAAAGATAGTTACACTTTCATGAAATTCTACTTTACGTTCTTTGCCCACATGAGACTGGACCCTAAGGGGAGTTTAGTGCCATCTAGATCTATTTTACCGACAGTACCTAGATTGGAAACTCGTGTAAAAATTTGCTATATGAAAGTTTTTGTCAAATGATTATCGGGAATAACGACAAGTGGTTAAAAATATTTACCTGCAGTCTTAGCCTGAGAGTTGGACGAAGTTCTGCTCGCATTCTCTCAAAACGAAAGACCCAAGCGACACCGATAACCACGTCGCCGAAGAGTAGCGCCAAAAGCAGGATCCAGTAAGCGTTGAGAAGTCGAGCACTAAGTCGTCTAGCTGCTATACAGCCAAGAAGTTGAACAAGACCCAGCTGAACAGCAAGGGCCAAATAGGCGTAAAGAGCAGTTGGATCAAATGCTCGCGGTACACCTGGGACCAAATAGCGTCTAGGATCACCTGAGAAAAGTAGTGTTCGCGAAACGGCCGCTGCAAAACCAACAGCACTGCCCAGCAATACTAAGTTACAGGCATATATCCAGAGACGATAATATCGCATTGCGACACCCGGACTCCCAAGACGGCTTAGCGACTTTGCCGCTGATACGCCACCAATGGTAACGTTGCTGCGGCTTGTCGAGATAATTTTGTTGATGTTATTGTTATTGTTTGTATTACCAGTAATGTAACTACAACCGTAATTTGCTGAATTTATATTATTATTGTAGCTAGTGCTGTTATTGTTATTATTGTTATTGTTGATGGTACTGTTATTAGTGTTTTCGTCAATTTCCAATAGAAAAACAAATGGCGGCTCACTGTTATTATGGTTGCCTGTTTTTTGGCTATGTGTTAATTGGGGGGTGGCGAAGCGTTGCAGCAGCATCACCGTCATCACTATCAATCCTCCCTTATCACTCTTTGTCTTCAGATATACCTTCTTGAGCTCTTGGTCACTCCGATGTTGTACGTTCAATGTTGAAGCCAATCCTCTTTTTTTAAATATGGATTCGTATTATTGCCATAATATTCTGAAACAAAAAAAGTTGTCCTCATGAAAGAAATTCTCTTCTTATTGACGTTCTACTATCTCTAACATTTTTAAGTTTTGCCTAATGAAAAACTTTGCTTCTTTTGGGAGCTACCACTACCAAAAAACGTAGTAGCAGACTAAAAAAGTATTAGCTAATAGATAATGGAATGATCAAAAACGAATGTTTTGGTGCGGTAATTTAGGATCCAAGAGAAATAGATGGTAAAAAATTATATTCGGTTCTGTTTCATTATGCTAATGACCCAAAATGGTACAGAAATTTTGTTGTTCTAGTCCATACAATTTAGATTTTACTTCGTACAATAGTTGCTGATACAACTACCGCACAAATACCACTACCTACACAATGTGTATTGTAACTGATACAATCTAGATTGTTGTCCGTATTCGTAGCACTAAAGATTATTATACCAGCAGTTAATTTATCCAGTGACATACATTCTTCTTTGTGCAACGGAAGTTTTTGGTCAAGCAAAAAGTAGTTTTAATTCTTCATTTTTATTTTTATACATGGCAAAAATTTACTTCAAACGTTGCTACGTTCAAAAGTTGCTACTTTACTTTGAAAATAGTCAAAGTTGCAATTTTTGCAAATTCTTTAGTAATTAAAAATCATACTTTATTCGTTTTTTCCGTGTAATTTTACCCTAGATGCAAAAAGTTGTGGGAAAGGTTGCATCAATTGTTTCGGTATCGCTGGCAGTTTAGGGTCTTAAGTGAAAGGGTTTAGTGAAGCAGAAACTATTTGATACAAGTTCGATCCGTTTAGATAAATACGGCAAGTCACTAAATCCGTAACAAAGTAGTTCGAACCTTTTTTTTTGAACGTTTTCAAAAGTTGCTCTTGTACTGTAATGGAAAACGTGATTCACAAGTAAAATATATAATTTACATAGTGTCATTGAAAGTGGGTATAAAGATCTTTGCGGTTACACAATAAAAACAAAAATTACGCATTCTACCCGTGACTTCCTTATTCAAAGTAAAAGGTTAACCTGGTTTTTCGTCGAGCAGAAAACTATACGACTTTGAAGTCAAAATAAGAAAGTTAATGAGCTTAACTAATCAACTATTTCGGTGCAATCACCTCGGGAAAAATTTGATGAGTAATCTTAACTTATACTTTTAATCTAATGCTAACAGATATTTTTAAGCTGAAATTAAAAATATTTGTTTGATAATACATTTTGATGGTTTACTGTAGTAAAATGTTAAAACAACATTTGGAAATAATTATTTTCAAGTCTGTTTTTCGTTCGGTCAAATAATCATTTGAAGTATTCCGAGTTACAGCGATATTATCAATTATCAATTTTCTCAAACATTTTCCAATAATTGTGTATATACCCTGTATCTTCTTCTGAAACATATTCAGAGCATCAGTTGACAAATTTTCCTACATTGAGTGAAGAAGCTTGAAATAGAAATTGTAAATTTTTAATGCAATTGAAAGAGAAACATTGAACATGAAGCATTAAATAGACTTGGTTTGTTTATTCTGAGTAGATATCTCGATTGCTCTGCGCTGATTAGGGTTCGTATTTTATTGATCGAGAGAGAGAGAGCTTTAAGGTTGTGTGTGATAAGGATAAAATTCGATTCGAGTTTTAACTTTAACATTAAATAAAATGTTGCTTTTATCATTATTTGTCGAATTTAGAAAAAAATTACTCGCTCTATTATCTTTGATTGTCCTTTCGATATTTTTTCTTGCTTTCGACACTTTTTTCAGATTTTTTCCCCTCTATTATAAAAAGCTTCTTTTGTATGTATATGATACGCAGTTGGAATAGACACTTTTCCGGATTCACCACCCTAATGTAATTTTTTTTTATGATAGAAATGTAATGGCATATCAAATTATTATAGGTCTGAAGGAAAAAGATGTCTCTTTTAAAATTTCCTCTTTCTTTTTAAAATGTTCTTTAGAAAAATATTTTGTTTTTTTGAAAGCGAAACATTTTATTATGTAGTATGAAACATTGGCAAAATATTTGGTTTAGTGTTTCCACATTTCTTTTTTAGTACCTATGTAGCTTTAAGGGTGTGTCAAAGTCGTTTCAATTTTTATATGAGGACTGCAAATGGAAAAATTGACCCTTTTGGGTGTTTTACTAAAATATGGTTTTTTTTAACCATACTTTTGTGTGGAGTGATGTTAATTTTTAATTGAATTAGGAAGTAAATTTATTGGACATTTTCGATTTTTAGTTCCATATAAAAAGTGTTAATTAAATTTTGAAAATTAAGGTTAACGATGATTGAGTGACTTTACCTCGTTTTTATAAAGTTGTAATTCAAAAAATGGATTTTCAATATTATATTTGACAGTTGTGAAAAGATTTATTTTTATTTAATTAAAAAAAAGAGACATTTACGGAACAGATATCTATACAAATTTCATAAAGCGTGCAAAAGTACTTTTATGCGATCTAATAAATATGAAACTCGTGGCTTCGTGTGTTCTATGACTTCTGTGAGTTGTGTCAAGCTTCTCGTTAGGGTTGAAAGCTGTATTATTATTTTTTTACTATTGCTATTAAAACTTCTATATCCTTATTTTTTATTTACCCTCTGAATACGGGAATTATGGGAAGTTAATAAGGAAGTTACTTTTGGTATTTTATTGGGTTTCGTATTCATATCACATATTTACTTCGGTCATTAGGTTTTTTTTTTCTTTTTTTTCTTTTCCCTTTTTTTGGGGAGAATTTTTTTTCGATTTTCTTTTTAACATTATAATGCCTTTTGTTCATGAAAATTTATATATGAATTATAGACGCGAAAGCTATAAAATCAATGCACATGAATCACTTTATTGTGAATAAGAAACAGAAAATAGAATTTCCTTGACAGTATACTCGTGTGCTGAGTAAAAAAATATTTTTTCGGCGAAAAATTTTGCTTTTGAAATTTCGATTTTGGAAATTTTAGAATTTTAGATTCAAAAATTTCGATAATGTTGGTATTCATATTTGGAGGATTCAATTTTTATTGGGGGGGTCTCGTTTGGAAATTTGTTTAGAAATTTATTTTTAACATAATGTGTAATATGTAAATATTAATGATAGTTTTTCTTTAGAATGTTATTTCTATATTAGTTGTCTGCAAATTGATTTCTTATCCTTTTATATAATTTATTGTGCGAAATGCATCAGAGGAGTAGGTATATACTTTCCGTAAATGTGACGTAGATCCATTCATAAAAATACAGAACAGTAATTCACGAAGACGTCATACAAGCATGTTAGGTTGAAAATGTCATGAGGTATAATAATACGCGGAATATACGTAAACGCATGAGAAATATGTTACAAACTTAAAATTAGCCTGTACTTGATTCAATTGTTAACTTTAGAATGATATCTGTAAAACTTTAGCAATTTTAAGAATTTTTCGTTTCTTTTTGCAAGAAATGAAATTATAGAACTTGTGAGTCCTAATCGAAACAAGTTTTTTTTTACAAAAGAATCTTTTTTTTTTTGCAAAACAATTCTTTTTCTAAAAAAAACAAAAAGTAAGACAAATGTTTTCTTAGAAATATTATTCTCTCTCTATCTTTTTTTAGATATGTGTTCTTTAATCACGTTCAGAGTGAATGTTACATTTTCTTACAATAGCTGTCAGTTTTTTATTACAAGGCACACAATAAGCGAGAAAGGAGATTCCGATATTGACTATGTATACATATTGATTTTCTTTTAAAAACTAACAAATACTAGTTACGCATAAATTTAGCCTTTTGTAAACGTGTCATTGGACCTTTAAACTAGAATAGAATTGAACTATATATAGTCAAGGTGCAAATAGCAAATATCAGAAAAAAACTCTCGGGTAGAAGAAATTAAAAAAGTATTATAAGTAAAGTTTTTTTTTCCTTCTTGTTTAATCTGTAAAAGATTTTTGATATCGTTGATCTTGACGTGAGGAATTTTTTTTCCCCTTAAACATATACCTAAAGTTTATGAAATGTTAATAAAGTTTTTTTTACTCGGCTATACAATATGAGTGTAAAGACCGGTAATCTAAGTAGACATAAAAAGTTTCCAAAAGGCTCTGATTTACATTTTCTTCTGATTTTTTTAAAAATTTTTGTTTTGCAAAAGTTACGCGTTAAGATGTGTAAGAAGTAAAAAATTGTTCATTTAATTTATTGAAGAATAAAAAGGCAGAGACCATCAAATACAATAATAATGCTTACAGGATAATGCTTCTGTAAACAAATTAATAGTTGTAATAGAAGGGTTGCCACAATTTGAAATTTTAGAAAATATCAATTTTTAATGAATTTAAATAGAAATTTTAAGAACAACTGATTACAGAAATTCAATTATTTTCAAAAGTGATGAACTTCTTCGCACCAATTCAATTATTTTTAATTTTTTAATAAAGTTTCTCCAAAGAATTCAAATAATATTTAATATATTATATTAAGAGAATTGAAAAAAATAGTTCCAAGAAATTCAATTATTTCGAAAAATTTAAATAAAATTATTTTAAAAGTTCTATTATTTTAAAAAATTTTGACAAAATTCTTTACAAGATTTAGTTAATAAAATTGCAATTTTAATAAAATTTCCCTATACAATTAAATTATTTTCAATGCAATTCTTCTTAAGAATTCAATTATTTTCACAGATAATACATTTTGTTATGGAAATTCAATTATTTAAAAAAATTGAATATAATTCTTCGCTAAAAATCAATTATTTTCATAAATAATATAAAAATTTTCTTCGAAATTCAATTATTTTGAAAAATTTTGATAAAATGCTTTATAAATTTGAAAAATTATAATAAAAGTGGTCATAGAATACAATTATTTTTGTAAAATACAACATTTTTCCTAGGAATACTTAAATATTGTCAAAAATGTTTGTGAAAATTTTCGAAACAATTCAATTATTTCCTGAAAAATAAAAATTCTTCGAAGCAATTAAATTATTTAAGAAATGTTAATAAAATTCTTTCCAAGAA